TTTTTTTCAATAAGGCTTTTATTTTTTCCATTTATGAAGATCTGACATGAGCGTGGAAACCAGCTGGCTTATTAAGTTCTATTCTACCAGAAGGTTTTTCAAAGAGACATTAAGACAGCTGCTTCCAGATGAAGGACCTCAACATAATTTTTAAAAAGTTGTCAGTTAAGTATGCAGTATGGAAAAAGCTAAGTGGAGAAAATGAAAATAAACACAAGCATAATTTTAAAATAGTCAGGGAAGGGTAAACAGGAACCACAAGAGAAACACACCGATTTTGATCAGTGGTTTTCAGTCTGTAGCCTGCAGATCTCTGCTCTCTGAGTTACTTCAGAGGTGTCTGAGAGGACATTATGGGAAATGTGCACATGTATACTTGAAGAAGGAGACTGCTGGGCTGGGAAGGAAGTATCTGGAAGAGTAAGGTATGAGGAAAAAATGGCCATTGCATGTCTTGCAACACTTGGCTCTTCCATGCTGCAGAACCAGGTCAGACAGCACTGTGCTTATGCTTCAGCGCTGCTGAGCCTGAGCTTGCAAGCCGGGAGCAGTGCTGCTTCTTGCTAGCGTGGATGCCATGCTCTACAAATGAACCTGTGCTGCCTGGGGATATGAGATACTGTACTCACATAGTGCTGTATCATGCTGTAGGATCTTGCTCCGTCTTTTTTGAAAACAGTCTAGGGTTATCTGCTTTCTGTACTATTGTATGGGATAAATATGAAGATTGGAGGGGACACCAACCTGATGACATATACTTGAGAAGGATGCAAAGATCTTTCTAGAAAGATCTAGATCTTTCTACATTTGTAGATGCACTGAGATGAGGCATTCAAGGTAGCAATTTTTCTCCTGCTTCAGGGCTTCAAACAAGATTTTTTTTTATAACTAATGCCACTTTTGGGGCAAGTTACACAAGATGTCTGTCATATGAGATGTCAGAAGACGTTCCCCTCTGCTCCTTGAGTTAGCTCCCCTTGAACTTTTTATTTGTCTTTGAGAATAGAAGAAATCTCTACCAAGCATTTACTTTTGACAAATTTAACGTAACTCATGTTGGCATCCTCTCTTGTTGCTGTCAAAGTCATGTGTGGCACTGAATTAAGGCTTTATAGGGGATTGAATAGCTTCTTGTGAAGAAGGGAAAGAAGGAATCTCCTAGTATTTGAAATATGGCACAGGATGCACACTGGGTTCTGTGTATAATCAGGCTTTCATCTGTATCCTCATATGAATTGGAAAAAAATAAATTGCAAAGAGGTTTTGAGGTGAGTTCTGAACTGACATTCTTTTGGTGATAAGTAATGAATTGTTACTTTAAATGTCTATGAAGCAGGTCTCTAGTGACACTTGCAAAAGGTTTTCTGTGACACAGCCTGCTTCCAAATGTGTTTCATGAAACAGCTGAGTTGCTGCTGCCTCATAGGGGCATGGGTTTTAGTTTTTTAAGTGTCTTGTTGCATGTGAGCGTTCAGATCGAACACACCTCTATGTGCTCTACAAGTAAATGTATTAGGAGTAAAAGCTCTTGCAAAATTTTTACAATGTGCTGAGCAGCAGATACTTTATTGAAGGTCAGAGATCTCAAAGTTGCCATGTCTGTAGAGGAGTCAGCTTCCTTTTAAAATAACATCCACTGCAGAAAGTCTTGGTATAGACAAGTCTGTAGGAAAGCAGAGCTGTGGGTGAAGAAGGGCTGGCAGAGGCCAGCTACAGGATGGGGCTCTGCAGCTGGAGTGGTGTTGTAGCCAGTGCTAGTCAGGATGGGGTTTGGGCACAGAGCTCCGTGCAGGTTGCTTTGAGTCTTGCTCAAACCCCAACATTACCTCTGAAGAGAAACAGGGAACAGAAAGTTTTGAGAGAAATTATAAAGGGTGCCACATAGGCAAAAAGAAACTTCTGAGTGTGTTTGTTTTGCCTGATCAGGTGTAGTAAATGGTATAACTATTTGTTGGGATCTGTGGCTCAAATCAATGTGGACGTAGTACCCTGTCATGCTGTGTTCTTCTTGTCAACCCTGTTTAAGCAATATTCTGTAAAATTAACCTATTTATCCCGTCATTTAACTGCTGAATTCATGGGAGAGATTTGAAGGTGAAGTTGGGTATGGGTTTGTGTCAGAGCACTAGTTCTCACCACATGTTTATAGATAAAATCTGAAGTCTTACCACTGCATATCAGACATAATATCAACCCTGAAATGAAAAATACTCAGTAAATGTTAACTGTCATGGAGCCATTTAGTCAAAGCAATGCCTTTGATTTGGTGGAAATGAAGGTTTGGTACCTTGCAATACTGTTAATGTACTCACTTTAAACATGTATCACTACAGTTTTCCTTTTCAAGAATCCATAAAACTTGGAGAATTGGTTCCAAACTGTTTTCAGTTTGATTTCTTGAAAGACATTTTACCTGGATTCAGAGTGGTTCTAGACCCACTTTTATTTTTAAGGTTTGCCAAAGTACAGGAGAGCTGTTTTGTAAAACAAAACCAGGTTTTGTAAAAGCTTAACAGTAATTATTTACAAGATTTTGACCCCATTCTGACCTACCTGACACAGCAGAGTTTATTTAGTAAGGTTAATTCTGAACGAGAGTGTGAGCAGGTCTTACATTCTTAAGACTTATTTTTATTATGGCTATGACTGTTTCCAAGTGAATATAATGTACTGGAGAACTCAACAGATCCTTCTGCGATTTCTAAGATCTCTGGAACTTTGGAAAATAGTTTCAAATGTAGAAGGAAGTTTTCTTTGAGAAAGTGGAAAATAATGTAATTTTTTTTTAAGGAAAACAAAAAGAATAGTCTTTTTTTTTCCTCTATTTCCCTTTTTCCTACTGTTTTTTGTTTTCTTTCACTGAGAAATTTGAGTGTTTCTTTGAAGAGGTGTGAATGCTGAAGGCAGCAACTTTTACAAATGGTGTGTGTGATGTTTAGCAGCTACTACTGTTGGTATCTCTGGTGGTGGTATATAAGTCTAAATCCAGGCATCTGACTTGGCAAATGCTTGGGACACATGCTATTTATACGTGACTTTCCTGTTTCCTCTATAACTTAATACACCTGGCTAATACACCCTACATTGAGATTCAGCTGTAGCCTTCATTAGAGATTACAGTGAATCTAATCCAAATACAAACTTTATTTTCAAGTTCTCACAATGACTAAATTCCCATATTCATGTATTTTGGCATTAGCCAAAATATAACTGGTGATGTAAAACATGCACGTAAATGACTGTTTGTATCTCTGTTTTAATGCTTAGGGGTATGAATAATTTCACTTTTAGTTCACTCGCACTCTTTGCGTGTCCAAATACTACACAAAGAGGGACTCTACTTGTGATTTTAAATAGCATTAAGTTCCCTCTTCAAAATAAAATAAATCTAAATAATGATCTAGGCCTCTAAAAGCTTGACAGGAAAGAGGTTCTATTTTTGATTGGTAAATTCACACAGTTTTTATGTTCTTCTATACTGTTCAAAGAATACATACTCAGAATCTGTACGGACAATACTTGAAGTTACAGTTACTCAGTTATACTCAAGTAAACAAAATTATATATTTTGCTGTTCCATTTTCCTTAGTAAATTTAGGTTGTTTCTCACTGAAATTATCTGACCTCAACTCTAGAGCTATAATAATGTCTCAAGAAATGGGATCTAAAGGAAAGCTGCAAGGAGCTTTTAGACGTGCTATTAAGATATTTTTTATCTATTCCAGTGCTTTTGTATCCGAAATCAAAACCTTAGCTAACACTTTTTTTTCTTTTTTTCTCAAGACTCTTCTGAAAGGAATATGACAATTTCCCAGGCAGGTGAATGGTCACTTCCAGCCACTGGGTTGGCAGACTTGTGGTCAGAGTGGATAAGAGTTTGAAAGGGTTTGACCTCAGTTTAAGTGGAAGCTGAGGCAGGATGGAGTTTAAGCACAGTCTGAGCATCTGCTTTGTCCTAAGGTGAAGAAGGAAAAAGCTGATGGTCACATTCATATTGTCACTGCCTGACTTTTGCTAGGATTCCTTAACCAACAAAAAAGTGGGAGGGGAGGAGAGAAGCATTAGAAAGAAGAGTATTTGTCAGGTTTGTAAGTTTTAAGAAAGAAGAAAAATGCTTCTTTGGAAAACTGAAAGTGACAGGCTCTGAATTTGTCCTTAATACTACCAGTAAGAGCAGTCAAGGATCAGTTTTTCCATGGTGATTCTTTAATTTGTTAGTTTCTGCATTCACTTTTTTTTTTTTTTTTGCTACTAATTTTTAAGACTAATGAATGGCTAGATATACCAATTCCTTGTCATGTTTCTGTGCTTCTGGTTTTAGTATTTCTTCCAGCATTCAATCAGTCTTTGTTCTTACATGATCTCATTCACTCTCTTTCTTTACTACCCTGTGCTTCAGAAAGCATCCAATGTTGTATTCTTTCTTTTCTCCACGATTTGCTTCTCCTTGTCCTGTTCCTTAATGATATGTTGAGAGCTTGGCCAAAAACTTACATTTCAATATTGTAATGAACATTAGTACAGCAATTTATTTTCAGTTTTAGTAGGATATAATATATTTACAAAAGTATGCTTATTTCTGTCACCGCAAATGTTGCACTTGCAGTGGCATTTGTAAATAGTAATTCCATTGTCTAATAGAAAGAAAATTATAGAAGTTGTTTATAGCAGTATCTACTTTCTTCTTTTTTTTAAGTAAAAGGTAGTGAATATATAATTTGTCTCACAAACCCATATTTACGAAGAGCAGAAAAAGGAGGAAAATAGTATTGTATGCAATCTAGTTTGTGCTAACCTATGGAGGAAAACAGTATTGTACATCACCTACAGTTTGTGTTAACTTTTATTATCACAATAGCTATTTAGATAGTCTGCCTTATTGTGATAATGATGATCTTTGTTACAGGCAGATGCAATGGAAGCCAGAAGCACCTGCAGTCACTTATGCAACATATCGAGGTTCTGCAAGGGTTAGGCAGCTACTGAAGAACCAATCAGAAATGGCTGAAAAAGGAAAAGAAAGTCCTGAGAACACAAATGTGTCAATGGTCAAAGAAAATGGAGAAATCCAAACAACAGCCCTTCCAAAATCAGGACAATTAATAAAAGAAAATAGAGAAGATGAGGGTAAATACAATCACAAAGATGATGCCATAGTAAATTCTTCTGGAGTTAAAATGGAAAGGAAGAAGTCTGGTAAAGCTCGGCGTTTCTTGGGTAGCAGTAAACATGAAATAACTGCAAAGGCCACAGCTTCATCTACTGAGTCATCTCATGATATGGACTTAAAACATACACCTGCTTTAGCTGCAACAGAAGTGAGGAGGACATATTCACTGGATTCATTATTGTCACCTAGGAGTAGAAACAGTGAGTTCCTAACCACTTGCCAGATTAGTAATTCTCTTAAAATGCATTCTGCAAACGATTTGGTTGGAAAAGATAATGGACTGCTGGGAGAAGCAGAAGCTCAGTTTCAGGCAGACAAAAATGCTACTTTTAACTTCAATAAAGAAAACAACTGTAGTAAAACAGCAAGTAAGAAGTCCACAGAAGAAATGCAGGATGATTGTTTATACTCACCCAAATCAAAAAGTGAGATAGTTAATGAAGAACTGCAGGTGAGTAAGGGAGAATTTTGTTGTAATCATCAAATGTATAGTCACTCAGAGCTAACATTGGATATCCAGATGCTTCATTCCAGTAGCACTACAGTTCAGCAGCAAGCAGATCTGCATACAAGTAGTGCAAGTAAAGACAGGGATGCAAGAAGAAGTGATACACAGAAAGTCATGGCAGCTGTACAAAGAGAGCAAAATCCACAGAACTTTCTTGATACTGACCTTTTACCTTGTAATGAACAAATACCCACTTCATGTAGCATGGAATCCAAGGGAGAAAAATGTATAGCCACAGGTAATCTCACTACTTCAGTGCCATCCATTAAAAATTATGAAGATATAGTCGTGGACAGAGGGACTTGTATTGAAGAACCAAGTGAGTTAGGGAAACCAATGCACATACAAAATGATTGCAAATTAATCAATGTGGAGAATTCTAAGGATATTGCCACACAACAGACTGATTTACCTTGTCTAGAAACTGTGGGTGTAGAAACAATGAAGGTTTTATCTGAGGTTGCAGTGGAAAACCTTGCCAATGTGTCATCATGCATACATGGGTGTGGAAATGTGAAATCTAACTTCAATGAGTTGACAGCACCTCTCTCAGTAACATACGAATCTTCTGAAGCTAGAGGTTGTTGCTCAGCTTCTCTTCATCCTAGTTGCAAGTTCAAAAATAAAACTATAGGAGAAAGAGAAGTCAGTTTACAAGATATGAGAGACACACTTTCTTGTCCTGATCTTGAATATGAGAAGAGTAGATCCTTTGAGCCTGTAGAGATGAGCCTCCTGGAAAACTCTGTTCCTGTCCACAACCATGTTCCTTTCTCCCCTGAAACTGTTCAAGACATTCCTGCCAAGGCATTAGTTATATTTGCAGAAGATAACACAGGAAAGCCTGCACCTGGCCCTTTAATTACTGTTGGTAGGACAGACAATTGTACTCCTGCTACTTCTGAAATTGACAACACTGGTATGACTGATGTAGCTCTTGTTCTGTCTGAAAGTAAAGATTGCAACTTTGAACTTTCCTCTCAGGTTTCAAAGTCACAAGAAAAATATGTGGACATTTCTTGTTCTGCCTTGAGATATGGAAGAGGACCATATATGGAAGAGGTAGATGAGAGGGGTGTTTGCACCCCCAGACCAACTTCTTTTACTCTAGGAACCAGAGAAGCCTCCAACCTTTCTGTTTCTGCCTTGGAAATGTTTGGCATTGCTCAGGGGAACAGTCATTTTTCCAATCACACAGCTACTGATGGGCTAGTGGAGGCCTACTCCAGACAACAAGCTGACAACAGTGTCTTGGCAGAGGTAAAGTCATCACCCATCTGTCCTTTGAAACTTTTGGAAATGGTATCCAGGTCAGCCTGTACTACGAGCATGTGCAGAAATGCTGTGGGACAGGTGATTGTTGGTAACCATGCTTCTGCTTTCTCAGAAGCCCCATCTGTGATAGATGATCAAACAGCTGCTGCACTTGCAGAGTCAAATGAGCTCTGTCCTGAGGATGTATGGAAAAATACCACTGTGAAGGGACAAGAACATGATAGATTACAATATGATGCTGTTTTATTTAAAAAAGCTGATGAAATAGTGGACTCAGTTTTATACTTGGCTATAGAAGAAATAATAGCAAAACAAGCCATTGATGTCTGCCAGCTATGCAGGGGCAAGAATAGTGTAATAAATGCAAATATTCTAAATGATCAGAAAGCTGAAACTGTACAGGTGGAAGCAGAAGAAATCCAGTCATCTGTGCAGTCATTAGAACTTTTTAATGAGAGCAGTGGAGGATGCTCATCTGCATTCACAGGAAATAAAACGTTGGATACAAATAATCAAGACGAAAAAATATTATCTTATGTTGCTGATAAAATTGACCTACATAGTGCATTAGCACTAAAAGCAAAAGAAGCTATTGATGAGGTCATTAACTCAGCCAAACAAAAGCTGGTGTCCAGTCAGCAGCGACGCAGTGAGAGTAAAAGGCCTTCTGAAAAGGTTGTGTCTAAACCTAAGGGTGAAACACCAAGGATTTTAAACCTTGATATGAAGTTACCTGCCAAAACACAGGAGCCAGCAAAGAAGGAAACTTGGAGTGTAACTGTCAACTCTGAAAAGGCAGATTGCTCAGGTCCTCGTTTGCTCCCAAATAGCATGGAAAATGGCATAGACTGGCCCCAAAGAGGTGAAAAGATACCAAATAATGCATTTACATGTCAAACAAATGGATTTGTACCCACTAGTAGTTCAGCAATGTCAGAATCTGATCTGATGATACCAGCAAAAGAGAGACACAATAGAAAGGTGTGTGAAAATCCGGCTGCAGCTGAGATGTGTGGCACAGCTGGAGTATCATCAACTAGTAGAAAATCTGATGGATCTTTACATTTAATACAAAGAGAAGCAACTGTGACTGAAGAGGTGCTTTTCTCATTGCAGTTAAAAGATTCATGCAATAATATAAATACAACAGAGTGCACATTACTGCCAACTGTAAATGTTAATTTGTTGTCTTTTATACCTGATGAAGAGTGTATCTGCATCCAGAGTGAATCCAAAGACAAAAATGGCCCTTGGGAGTCTCTGAAAAGTAGAGCAGAGGACAGTCTGTATGAACACTGTGGAAAAGAGGCTGCAGAAGAAGTTCCTGCCCAAGTAAAAGAAATATTAGAAGATTCAGAGGCAGTCAAGAGTAAAGAGGAACTATCAGAAGGGGCAAAGATTAATACTGGATTCAGTACACAGTTCATTCTACCTGAATTGTCTGTTATTGGAGAGGACAATGAAGAGAAAATCTGCTTCGACAGAGTCTTTGCTCAAAATGATGAGTATCTGAAGCAGGTAGAAATGAAGGATCAAGACATGCAGAGAAGCAATCACCTTGAAGAAAACAGTCTGGACTGCAGTGATAACATGAAGGCATCAACAGATCTTTTGGCGTTTTCTCCATTAATTCAACAGTGTGAAAACAATTCTTTTACAATTATTTATGAAGGTGACCTTGAACTTGAGAACAAATCTGTCTCAATTGATAATATCCAAACTGATCTGCTTTCTTCTTCTGATTTGGCTTCAGATAACGTAAATCATCTAATGTGTGAAAGCGCAAAGAGTAAACAGGAGCTGGCCTGCTCTTATGGGAAGGATAATTTGGATGAAGTAACAGATAGCTGTAGCTCAGAGTCATTTCTGAGTGTGGAAGCCAAGCGATACAGAGTATATCCTTTCTCTTTGTCTCCAATATATGAAGATGACAGCTCCCAAGAAGATGTACTTTCCACAAACGTGTCTCCAGAAGGGTGTCCTAGTGGAATATCTAAAGAAAACACTGACCATGCTTCTGTGCTTTCCCTTCTCCAGTCAGTTTCTGAGCGCTTAGAGTTTACCACGCAGTTCAGTAAAGAGGAAGAGGAGGGAGTGGAGGAAGAAGAGGAGGAGGAATCATCATATGAAGAAAATATGCTTGATGTTGAGAGAGAAGATGACTGTCTTCCCAGTCAGTGGAGAGGGAATTTAAAAACAACTCTTCATTCAAATGACCTAAATAGATCATTGTTTCCTGATCAATCATTTTTTCTTTCAAAAGAACAGCTTGAGTCTAAGGAGCAACTAGAACTGTTTCCAGATTCAGCTTCTCCCAGTCAAACACCTTGTAAGCCAGTTTCACAGAAAGCTGATGCTGTTCTAAAGTATCCTCCTCCAAGTGTATACTACCAGTATTTGAAATCTGCCAGCAATTGCTCTTCTGAGAAGGGGACCAGGTTTGGAAGCATTCTCCAGGATACGCTACAGCCAAAGATCCATTGGTCTCAAGACAATACTATACCAAAACTGGGAGAATTGCCAGCGGTAAGATGTTGTGTCATGTAATATAATAATCCCACTGATTACCCCATATTCTAAATTGCTGTCTTTCTGTTTTCTTTCCTCTCTTTTTAAGGATAATTCTTTTATCATAAACAAAGTAATTAGGCTTTTTAAGATCATAGCTTAAAAAACAAAAAAGTCCTCTGATAAAATACTTTTAAAAACAGTATTCTTGGTTCAGCACACAGGTAAATGTGACTTAATTTTAAAACAGAAGATGTGAACAGAAAATGTGATAGGAAAATAGGTATAGTAGCAAGTCTGTATAATACCAAAGCAAAGACTTGTCTGTATTAAGGACATTTCAACCTGAAGATGATGAAATTGCCTTTTTATGAAGGTTATTGTTTCCTTTCTTTCACTTCTGAGATTGGTAGAGCTGTATTATAAAAAAAAGTAAATATCTGTGTATTGGGCTATTTGATTGTTTCATCACAGTCTTCTACAAATTGTAGCGCAGTTAGCAAGTAATACAGCTGCTTCTGTAGATTAGCATTTCTTTTTTTTAGTTTATTTAAAGCAGTGGCAGATGAGAGTACAGAAAGAGTTCTTCCAATATTTAGAAATTGAAAATGCTACATAGACCAAATGTGTAACCGAAGAAGAGAGTCTTTCCATGATGTTGAGAATATTTTGGTCTGTGTTAAGTGTCTCTTTTGGTTTTGCCACTGTTAAGACATGCAGTTTATTGTTTACTGGAAAAGGGTAATACATTTCCAGAAACTGTAACTTCCATAATAATTCTTCCTTTCTAGCACTTGCTTTCTGCCGATTGTTTAATTCTGTTAACTGCTTAGATCAACTCTGAATGACAGTGAAACAAATCTTGGCTGGTTTTGCTAGTGACAGTTGCATATGTTTATAGGAGTAGTGGACCCAGAATAATCTGTCTATGGTTTGTGCTGCAGTTGTAGATGTTAATAGCAGTTTTGCATGTCCTTTTAATTTCAGAACCTCATTGACAGGGCAAGTCTCAAATACAATCCAAGACCAGGAAAGGTAAGCAGATTTTGTCACGTAGATCAATGTGCTACGTGGAATTATTTATTTTATGAAAACTCTTGAATGGAAAGCGTCTGAAGTTGTTGGTCCAGTTTTCTGTATTTTAATGGTCTGTATGTTTGCACATGCTAATAATGAGATTATATTATGAAAAAGTCCTGCAACTAGTAATTTTACTGTATTTCTGTCAACAACTCCTGGTTTAGTTCAGTAGAGTGTTTTATAAAGGAAGAAAATATGTAGCATATTGAGTGGGCACAAAGTGAAACAGGTTTTATTCCAAGCAAAAAATTACTATCTACACTGTATGCTGAAATAGGCCCTCATTTGTATGCACTGTATGTTGTTTCAGGTTATTATTTATGATATTTATGGTGACAAAAGTAAACAAGAAGTTTGTTCTGATGTGCTAGATACCACATCCTGGATCTTTCCTGTTGGAGCATTACTTAGGATAATTAGAGGATGGTAAGAAATCTATGCCATATTTAAACAGAGTCTTTCCAAGACTGTCTATGTGTTTCTCTTGCATTTTCATTTCTTATATTCATTTAATGTCTTATCAGACACATGTCTGAACTGCAAGAGTGTCTTTTTCTTTCTTTATACTTAAGACTTATACCAATGAAAAAAGCAGGAAACAGGGCTTCAAATGCTGCAGTACCAAAAAAAATATTTCTCCTGAGAATTGGCTTCAAACAGAAAGTTTCTAATAGAGCCGCAAGTAAGTTTAAACTTCTTGCCACAAGTGCTGAGACAGTACATCCATAATCTTCACTAGAAGTATGTGTATGCTGAAGAAAATGAATAATTTTTTTTTAACCTTGCAGTTTCATTATACAGTAGCTGTTGCAAAAGTACCATAAAATGAACAATTTTTTCTGCTGTTTTTAATGTACCATTTAGAACAATGTGAATGCAGAAGGATATACAAGTATGGTAGATTTTACAAGTGTTTCTCAGTTTGCTTTGGGAAGTTTGGCCTGGGACTGTGTCAGTCATTGCATTGGAATTTAATTGGTGTTACTACAGTGAATGTTTCTAACTGTCAGCAGTAGTAATGCATGTCACATTTATGCAGTTTTGAGGCAGAGTTGTTTGGTTCTGCATACGTTTCTTTCCTAAGAAATGCTGAATGCCATTATTACTATGTATATGTCATGCCCTGCATAGTATATGCATGAACAGGGCTTATTTTGATGTGTCAATTACTGGATTTGTGTTGGTAAAATAAAGATTTTTATTTATATTGTCATTTAGCTGTATTCTTATACTATTAATATTTTAAGTTAGGCAATGCCCTGGAGGAGAACTGTGTATTTTACTTTTAAAGCACAAGAGTACAAGCCCCTTATTTATCTAAAGTGAATGCAACTACTGAAGAACAGCATAGGAAAGCTGTGATAGTTGGCTTGACAGGAAGAGTTCATTACCAAGCTTTCCAGCAGATGTGTTGTATAAGGACAGTCTTACATAAAAGCGGCAACTCAGTTCATTATTATTATTACAGTTGGATTTTTTATGAGAAACCAAAGTTCCAGGGTCGGAAATATGTACTAGAAGAAGGAGAGACTGTGCTGGATCACCTTTGGGATCTCCCCATCATGAAACATCATCGCAGAAACCTCACAGTTGGTTCAATCAAGCATATAACAAAGGTATAGACTTTGTTATTAGTACTCTTACATACATATTTAATGTCTGCTGGAAATACCAATGAATAATTAGTGTATGCTGTATTTCTGGCTTTATTTGAATTTGCTATGTTAGCACATTTTTCATCTTTAGCATAAATTCCAGGGCTTTGCTGGCCTAAATTTCTCTTTCTTCCTGAGGGTAAAGAGCAGATGGATTATCTTTCTTTTCCATGGCCTTTACTTGACACAGTGACTCCCTTCCTTTTAGATGTTTTCTTGTCCCATTAATTGAAATTAAATGAATCAATTAATATTTTTCAGAGTGTTTGTCTTTAAGCTTAAACTTGCAGCAGTCCTGGTTAACAGGGGAGGTCCGAGATGACTGGAGACTTGCCAATGTGACTCCCATCTACAAGAAGGGCAGGAAGGAGGATCTGGGGAACTACAGGCCTGTCAGCCTGGCCTTGGTGGTGGGGAAGATTATGGAACAGTTCACCTTGGGGGAGATCATGCAGCAAGTGTGGGACAACAGGGGAATTGGACACAGTCAACACGGGTTCATGAAGGGCAGGTCCTGTTTGACCAACCTGATCTTCTATGACCAGGTGGCCTGTCTAGTGGATGAGGGAAAAGCAGTGGATGTTACCTGCCTGGACTTGCATAAAGCATATGATACCGTTTCCCACAGCATTCTACTGGAGAAGCTGGTGGTAAATTTGCAGATGAGATGAAATAAAGTGGGAGTGTCAATCTGCTTGAGGGTAGGAAGGCTCTGCAGAGGGATCTCTACAGGCTGGAGCAATGGGCTGAGGTCAATTGTATGAGGTCGAACAAGGCCAAGTGCCGGGTCCTGCACTTGGGTCACAAGAACTCCAGGCAACGCTACAGGCTTGGGGAGGAGTGGCTGGAAAGCCGCGTGGCAGAAAAGGACCTGGGGGTGTTGGTGGACAGCTGACTGAACACAAGCCAGCAGTGTGCCCAGGTGTCCAAGGCGGCCAATGGCATCCTGGCCTGTATCAAAAATAGTGTGACCATCAGGACCAGGGAGATGATTGTGCCTCTGTACTCTGCATTCGTGAGACCGCACCTTGAGTACTGAGTCCACCACAGCACACCACAGTATAAGAAGGACATGGAGGTGCTGGAGCGGGTCCAGAGAAGGGAAGTGATGCTGGTGAGAGGGCTGGAAAACATGCCTTATGGAGACCAGCTGAGGGAACTGGGGTTGTTTAGTCTGGAGGAGACTGAGAGGAGACCTCATTGCTCTCTACAGCTACCTAAAAGGAGATTGTAGTGAGGCTGGTGTTGGTCTCTTCTCCCAAATTACTGATGATAGGATGAAGGGAAATTGCCTCAACTTTGACCAGGGAAGATTTCAATTAGATATTAGGAAGCATTTCTTCACTGAGAGAGTGGTTAGACACTGGAATGGGCTGCCCAGGGAGGTGATGGAGTCATCATCCCTGAAGGTGTTAAAAAACTGAGTAGATATGGGAGTTGAGGCTATGATCTAGTGGTTAGGGAGATTAGGAGGAAGGTTGGACTTGGTGATCCTAGAGGTCCTTTCCAGCCACTGTGATTCAAATATCTACTCTATCTCTATGATGTCTTCTTTCAGTAGTTGGGTTTCTAATGCTACTTGTACAGCATAACCTCCAGAAAAACTACTGTTGCTCCCTCTACAGCTTTGTGCCACCTGAAGGGTGTTTCCCTGTGGTCAAGCGGTACACCTACAGTACGTGGCTCTGTGTACAGCCAGAAGTTTAAAAGGCATTTTGTTGAAAAGATAAGAAGCAAATGCCTAAAACTAAATATAATGCAGCTGTTGTTTGTCAGTGAATGAGGAATATATTTACCAGATCTTGTGCTTTAAGACTTAATGTTCTTGTTTAACATAACATTCCAGTTATTCACAAGGCAATGTCTTTACTGCAAGGGAATTATCATTTGTGTCATAATGTGAAAGTTTTTCAGAAAAAAAAGTGTTTCTCTATTCTCTGCTCATATAGAGGTCATTTTAGAATTGCTAACCTTTTTGTCATCAGTGCAGGGCCATAATGTCATAACAATTAGAAATACTTTTTTCTTAAAGACTTAACAATAAATAAATAAATTCTAAAGAGTCTGGAAAAGACATGAATAATGAAGTTAATATTTGTTTGAGGTAAATAAATTAAAAGCATTTGACCAATATGGAATGTGAATATTGATTAATAATGTGGAAGGTAGCTAAATAATTAAAGATGTGCCACAATAACTTGTGGAACTGTGGTTTGAAACCAAGGGAAGCTAAATATGTCTTGAATATCAAAGGAAACCTTTCAATAGGAAAGACACTGTGGTTAACTTCATCATGATTAATAAAATTGTTTGTAATACATCTAAGTAGGTTCAAGCACTTTTCTTCTTTCCGTATGTGGTTCATTTGTATGGAACACAGATGGAAAGCTTTGTTACAGTACACTAGTTCAGTAACCAGCACTGTTTCTCATGTAGCTAAAACCTCTATCAGCTGTGGTTGGTTGGGAGAACTTTTGCTGCTAGTCTGCAAGGCTCTATAGAGCTGGTGTGGAACCCCAGCAAAGTCAGGCTTTGTCTTCTAAACCTTAATTTGTGAAAGTATCCCTCTTTTATAGATTATACTTCAAATGGTGTAAATCTACTTTTAGAAGGTTGTTTGCCAAAGTGTTACCTTCTTTTTTGTGTCTGTATGTGCATGAAAAATATAGACATTATTTCTGATTGACAAATACATGTGTCTTTTTTAGGCACGTATATGTCATCTGCAGGATCACATGTCTTACTGTCATTCTGTTTCATGTACTGGGAAACTCAGCGGCTTTTCTCCTGCCTAGTTTGATAATACTGGCTGTATATTCTGGCTGTCTGTCTTGCCTTCTGATTACTCAGGTGGCTTTTTGTGGTGCTTGTTTAATGCTCAGATGCCTTTGGTAAGCAGGTTTGAAAATTGGCTAAATACTTTAGAAGAAAATGGCTTCCCAAGAAGGAAAAAAAAGCCATATGTTTGCTAAAGAAACTGCAGGAGGTACATCTAATATTATTTTTATTTTTTACAGTCAGATGTTAGTTTTCAAAACAGTCTGTGAGTAACTTCTTGCTCTGATTTGGCTTCAAACCTCCTCAAAGCAAAGATTCTGTTAGCTTTTTTGGTTAGCTTGTGGCTTACTTACTTACTGTGGAGACACATTAGATGTATATGTGTGATTAATTTGAAGGAACTTACTATGGGGGAAAAAGATCCCAGAGGAATCTTTTTCATTATGCAACTAGCAAAATGAAGACCCATTTGAAGTAATAGAGAGTCTGAGTTCCAGGTCAACATGAGCCTGGGCTTGCAAAGTCTGTCTGCACATGCAGGCTCAATGCAGCTCCAAAGCACATGTTCACAGCACAGTGTGTTTAGCCAATTCAGTTCTCTGGTTTACTGCAAAGACCTTTGATCTTATGGAACTGGAGGATGTTTTCTGTTTCTAAAAGCCTAAAGAGGGTACTAAATGTTAATTTCCCAAAAACGAGAGCTGAGAAGAGTTGCTGACATTTCTATTTTGGAGTAATCTTCTAAACGGCTGTTTTGCAAGGTGACAAGCTCTGAAACAGCCGTTTATAATCACTGTCTGTGGGATGATTAGGCAGGGAATAACTGGATTTGTTATGGACTCTCCTTAAAATTCTTTGTAATGGGAATGTTCACAGTATTACGTGAAGGGTATGTTTCTTCTTTTTGGTTGGTTTGCTAGGTGAAAAGAAGTGTTTAGTTCAAGCAACTAATGTCAGGTGCCATAGGAAGATTGTCTTCAGATTGTCTTATTTGTTACTTGGTATTTACAAGACAGTAATCATTAATTTGCCTAGTATTATTTTCTAGCTCTCTTGAATTGTAGTTTGGTTTGTTGGTGATTGGTAGGAGCAGAAGTGGTACAGGGCAAGAGACCTGGGAGAAAGAGTTATGAATAGGTAAAAGAGGCTAGAGGACCATTAGATAATGAGACTGAAAATAAAAAATGCTGCAGAAAATTGTCCTAAGGACAAAGTGTATTAAAAATAAGATCCACCTCTAGACTGTATTAAAAAGCAATCATGTGAATACCAGAACTATTTTAGTCTGGTTTTCAATAGACTGTTCTCCTATAATTTTTTTGGCATTTAGCTTAAGAAGTCAGACTTTAGTCATTCTTTGTGCTGTTGTTAACATAAAAGGCTACCTCATTTAAACTGAATTTTTTTTTTTTTTTTCTTCAGTCATCACAGCTTACAGGCCCAAGAAGAAGACCTAGCAGTGATAAAGTTGTTTAGCCTTGCTAGTGCAATTAGGCCTCTAACTCTAGATCTAGAAGAAGGGTAAACAGCCGAGACCACTTGGAGGGAGTTGAAGACTCTAGGTCTCTCACTTCTGGTGGAGCTCTTGTTTGGACTAGAAAAATGTCAGAGATGCCACCAAAGGAGTAATGGTTCATACTTGTCTTGAGGGTGATCTTAATCCTCTTCACAAGAAGCGTTAACCTTTCTGCTGAGAGCTGTGTTATTGTTTTGGAGCTACTGTGAGCATTCCCATGCTTTTCTAAACATCTCTGCACCCAAAAGACCATGAGGGAAGCATGGATACTCCAGGATGACTCTGGAGGTAGGAGGAGAGTACATCAGAGTAGAGGAAGACAGGGTGGGGTGCCTGGAGGCTGTGACCAACCTAAGCATTTGCTGGTTGTGTATTATCACTGGAAATGAGCACAGGTATCTAACCTGTTTACTGTGCTTTTTATTCTGTTTTTGCCTGACATGTCAGGAGGATAATGAATCTGACGTGTTTTGAGTGCTTATGATTGGGGTGGCAGGGCCAGGGAGGTATAAGGAGGAAAAACTTTCCAGTTTTGGATCTGGCCGGAAACACTATGGTAGTAGTTTTGCATGTGGTATCTTATTTCAAAATCTTGATGCCTCACAGATGGTCTTTGGACTGGGGGATCTAGTTCTCAACCTGAATGCTATCATATTTATGTGGTTTTCATTTTGTGTCTAAAGATGGTGGCTTTATTAGGAATGTTAAAGAAGCCTCTGAAAGTAATGATGCCTATTAAATATGTTCAGGCAAATATGAACATGATGGGGCAAATAGCAAGCTAATGTTTACGTTTCAATTATATCAATTAATGGTGTAGTACTTAAGCATACACCTGCAAATACAATGTTCACTGTCCACAATAATCCTAAATTATACCATTTTCTGCAGTCTGTAAATTAATATATGTAAATTGAACTCAATATTTAAGTCAAAATGTGTATTTTTGAATTTTAAAAAAATGTGCTTAGAAAATGTACTTCTTGCTCTAACATGTTATTGCCTTTAAAAACAGATCTTTGAATTGCTTTTTATGAAGACCTCAGTTTACTGTGTGACACTATATGAATCAGCTTTGTGGACTTCTAGTACACACAAAACCACCATCACAAGTAGAGTTTATGACTGTCAAAATCTGGCTGGAGAGGGGTGATGATAAACAGGAGATATTTTATTAGGAGTACTTGTGCTTTACCTATCCTTTGAACAGCTACATTCTTCTCTTGAGGCAGAGCATACCTCATGAGCTTCAGAGTCAGTAGAGTAGACTTGAAAAGAGAATACAGACTGGCTTTTTCGAGTCTTCAAATGGAAAAAACCCCAAACCTACTACTGAATTAAAATTAAACATGCTCTGTCTCATATTCTGTCTGAGCCCACAGGCAAAAATACTTCATTTTGCTACTTGTCTGGTCTTGTAGGTACTTTTGCTTCAGAATTTACTTGAACCCACTTAAAGACTAGCATCATTATGTGTGGAATTCTTATAGGTGCATCTTCTAATATTCCATATCAAGCTTTACTGTTGGATTCACAGATTTCAGTTTTATCATGTGTCAGGTATTAGAAAATCCCATGAACTTCAAATGTTTCTTAACTGTGATTTAATAAGATACATATACCTGTGAAAACTACAAGGAGCTTTTTTTAATTATTTTTTTAAGACTTGTCTAGCGATATGCCTACATTTAAGGGATTGTGTTCCTTAGTACTTTGCCATAAAGTAGCATTGTACTAGAAAGTCTTTTCTTGTTTTTCTGGGTTTGCTCATCTGAAAATAAAAACTCTGGTATTGCAGTTTATGTTCTAAGAACAGTGTGTATTGTTTGCAAGGTACAATATAGAGGAAACATGATTGTGCATGAGGGACTGTTGCCAAAACCGTGTACTGTGTTACTTCAGGTCTCATGAGGAAAGTGAAATGATATCCTGAAGTCCATCTATTGTCGCATTTATTGCTTACAGTTAAATAACTACTGGAAGAACTTTACTAACTAAGAAAAGGTGTATTTCTAGGCGGGATGTTACTCCATCATCTGAAAAGCTCCACTCAAAACCTGTGTAAACAAAGAGAGTGTACATGTGTTTTCATGAGATGAGGTGTTTTAAGCTCTTGTGCCTAGTTGCTGGGTTTCTCTGCAATCTCTTGTGTTTTGCCTTTTGGGTCTGGCAGAAGCCACAGGCCATGTGAGATCTCTGTCATGATGTGACCTTGCCTGGGTCCTCAGCAAATCCAGAAACCAGGTGCTTCTCCTCAGACACCCTCTGGGACAGTTTCTCATCCCTCTGCTCTAGTGTGCATGCAAGGAGGATCTTCCTCCAGCCACATTCAGGACTCTTGGAGTCTCTTTACTCTGTCCAAGCTTAATACAAATGGGCCCATGGGTCAGGAGAATATGGGAAAGGTGCTGTGAAGCTGTCACTGAGAACTGAAGGTTTCCAGCTACAGCTGAGCGAACTCAAAGAACATGAGCCACCTTTTACTGTAACAGAAAGACTGTTCTGTAACATCCTGCTGAAGCAGGACCTTATAGAAGATCCTCATTGATTCATGATGTGTTTGAATGCTGGGAAGAAAGTATTTGCAATTAATTTTATACAAATATTATGAAATGAGTATGGTTCAATAAAATCCCTGCAAATTCTTCAGAGGATCATGTGTTCAATAAGTTGTTCTCCAGCATGATATCTATCAGTAGGAAACCTTTGGTAAGGTAACAGAGGTTGTTGCTGTGTTAGTAAAAGGAAAATTTCTGGAGTGTCTACTTAGCAAAACAAACATTTTATAGTACTGGCCTTTTTCTTTCCTTCTCTGGAATACCATAGCTAGATTTAGCATGACAGAAAATTGAACCTGTATGGCTTGAAACCATAGTCAGGTGTATTATGGAATTTAATTTTCACTGAGGGAGGGAAGTGGGAATGTAGTAAACATTTCTAGGAAGTTTTATTTACATGTGCATAATATGTATCTATATGTGTTTCACGGAAGCACTGTCTTTTAAAAAGTCAGCAGTATTATATGCATTGTTTGTCTACCAGTAAATGCTGTCAGATCCTTTACTTGGAGTGTATTTAAACTAAACTTTTTGAAGGTAGCCCAACAGGCCTAATTACATAGATCTTTGAAAGTTAGTGGGAGTTGGAAATTTACTTCCCTTAGCTTTTCTAAAAATTCTGGACTTCATTTAAAAAGACTAAAACCCTTCCATCATATGAATCCTGGAGTAGGTGAGAAGGGTGAGAAGACAGCAGAAAAAAGAAGGAAATGTTACTGATCCTTCCCCAGCTGTGATGGGGCAGGCTCTGCAACTGTGGCTAAGCATTACCCTTTGATTTGTTTCCGCAGGACTGTGGCATTCCAGAGGTAGAGTTCTGCCTGGCAGCTGGTGGTACACAGGGACTTCCTATCTACGTACAGAATGCAGTTGCCAATTTAGAAGAACTGGGTATTAAGAAAAACCTTTGTCTCAAAGTCAGATCGGGAGTGTGAGTACTGAACCATTTTAATAGCATTTTTCCAGCAGGTAGAGTAACAACATCATGGGATGAAAGTCAGTCAGCAATAGGAGCAATATTTGCGGGATTTTGTACAAATCGGTTAACATACACTTAGATATGCCCAGCTCTACACTTCAGCATTGTGCTGTGTGGGCTCCTAGTAGTGGAACCAAGTTTTTGAAGGCATTTTTCCTCTCATTGTTGGCAGAAGTCTTCTATAATTCCATCTTGAGTAGCTTTATAAATAGAAGCAGCAGCTCAGCTATAGGTAGCTTTTATTTCGTTGAAGAATAGATACTGTCTGTCTAGTCACCCACCCTGTTATAACACTGTTGCTGAATACCAGCAAATGAATATTACATCATCTAAGTATTTCTCAAGCTACAGCCGTATCCTGTCTTTCTGGAGAGAGGTGATGCAATATGATGCAGGCTTCTTGGTGGCCCAGCATTTCATGTATTGAGCCGACTCATCTGTTTCCGGGGTAAATGGCCAATACTTTACAGTTCCTGAAATTTGGGAGTTCTGTGCCTGTTCTCATAAATCGTTGTAACAGAATGGCTAATGTCATTCTACAAGAGTCTTGGATTTGCCTTTCCAGTGGAGCCAAGCCTTCCTTCCCACAATCTCACAATATGTCTGTGAAGCTTGAGGTGATGAACAAATTAAAAACAGTGTCTCGTCTTAATTTTCATAGAACTTAGTATAACTTTTAGCTGCTTCTGCTCTGTATGTATAGTATTAAGAAAATTGTTTTCCACATGGCTCCGTGACTCTTCCTCCATTCCTTATTTGGTATACTAACCTTGTATCCAACTTTGACACTCAGCTTTCTTTTTGACTTAAAACAGTCTAAAGGAGTCTCAGCATTTTTAATCTTCATGTAAAAAATTACAGGAGCCTGCTTTCCAAAGTAGTGTTATAAATTAGCATATTTTAATACATTCCACTGGAAAAAATGAAGTCTTAGAACTTAGAAGAAATTAGAAGCCTTTTAATTCCTATGGTGACAACTCTTGGTAAAATTTGATGCAATGTCTCATCCTCAGTACTGACACTGGTTTTGTATACTCAGTGTAACAAAATGGATGCTTAAAGTAAGCAAACAAGTTGGTAATTTTTATCTTTCATTTAGAAAAAGCTTGGACTGAGAGTATCTGATATCTTCCTGGCATTGATGTTGCCAGTGAATTTAAATATAGCTTTGCTCTGATGTGCCGGCAGCATCTAAAACATCTAGCTCTTATAAGTACAAAAAGGAAAATAATTTTAATAAGATCTCTGTATTTGCAATCTGTCTAATGAGATTAATAAATCCTTTATCCTTGTTGTTATAGGTGGCTTGCTTATTCAGACTTTAATTACAAGGGAGAGATGAAGGTTTTGGAAAAATCTGATTCACCGTCTGAAATTCCTTTAGCAGATGTAAAATCTCTGCGTCCCTTAAAAATGGTGAGGACTTCACAGTTCCCTAATAAGTTGTGTTCCTTCCTTTTCCTATTGTTGCTTCCCCAAAGGTTTTGACCTAAATATAGCTTAGGTTCTGATGTCCTTTCAAGGTTAATTGTCATACATTTAACACTTGTCTAACGCCACGGTGCATTTACAGTATTGTAATGACACGGTTGTCACTGTGGCTTGCTGGGTTTCTGAATCTACCCAAGTATGATCATGTAGTCAGAGGGAGTACCTCATTCACTAAAACATCCTCATATCTTCCTGAGAAACTGCTGTTGTTGAGTGGAGATCAAGACAGAATTGAAAGGCTCTTAATTGTTTTGCAGCCAACACCAATTCAATTCATAACTAAAAAAGTTGTTTTCTTTTTTAATAGTACAGCTGGAGTCTATTGGAGGCATAAAATAAGATGAGGGTGTTACTACTGAGTAATATCCTGTCACCGCACATTGCATAAATATGTAGTGAGGTGCAGCAAATGTTTCTTTTGATCAACAACATGTAGATCTAAATATGAAAGAGATATGGAAGGGCATAACACATTTCTACTGCATATATAGCAAGACTTACAGAAAGAGAGGTCAGATACCACAAAGGAATAAGACCTAACAGCTGTCTTTTTAGTTGCTCATGGGAGGTAGGTGGCTTATTTCCCTCACAGAACATCATTCAGTAACATTTCCAGAGAAAATGCATTTGTTGTATTTGCTCTTTGACCATAGACATGAATATGTCCACCTATACTTTCTCTCTCTTCTGGTGTTTGTAGTTTCTTAGCGTTCAGCCGTATGTGATCAAGAACTTTGAAATATATACAATAAAGTCTTAAAAGTTAGTTTTAAAAATTTGTCCATATAAATTAGTTTAAAAGAACATAGTAAATATTTGCTTTAGTTTGCTAATAGTCAGTGAAGGAATATTGTCAGATTGCTTGCACCCCTACAGGCTTGTCAAAATACCGATTTGTTTGTAGGCCAGGTTTAGGGTCCCTGGCCATGAGTTATCAGAATATTTAAAATAGTGATTAATTTGGCCAACATTGCAAATAGTGAATATACTTACAAAGACTTTGTGCTATGATAGTACTATAAAATACATGTCAAAGCATAACTTTGTTTTACATAAAAGCCTTTCCCCCCCCCCCTCCTTTTTTAGGGTGGACTAAAGGTACAAATGCCAATGAATGTTAAGGTAAGTACTGAGGACATTGAGAATAAAATATGAGCACGCTGGAAATAAAAAACCTTTATTTAAGCTGTTTTCTTTTTGAGTATGTGATGTTTAAGTATTTGGTGTATGCTGCTGAAGAAAAATTGACTAATGCTGTCAAGTGTACTTTCTTAGTAGTGTCTGATGAGATGTAAAAGTAGTAGTAGTTTGGCCTTTATGTATTAGGAGAATGTGGATTTACTACAGAAGAATTTTATTTTACAAAATAAAATTAATTTTCCTGACTGAATCATTAATCACTGTAATGGAAAAGGATCAGGAGAGATTTTCCCATTTAATGTACAACATTTTAAAAAAAGGAAGGGGGAGGGGAGGAAGGTGTCAGGAATAGGACCATTCCTTTCTATACCTGGTCTCAATACAGGAGTTGTAAGACGAGACCATGACTCTTCTGTGATTTGAAGAGCAGAAAGCTTATCCAGAGTTATTGCTCCATTTCCCTCCTTTTTCTAGTTCTCCAGAAAAAAATTCTAATGCTTTAGGTAACTTTTAATTGTACAAATGCATGCAAGAACCAGGCATTGTCTAATTAATATTGCAATAAATATTAATACTATTAATAGGTGATCTGTGTGATTCAGCAGATAAGGAACCTCAAGGGGGGTGTTAACTGCAGTCACTGAAGTAACTTCAGCAAAGTACTGAAAAAGTATTTTAGTAGACTCTTGTCTACTTTTGAAGGCTTAAGCACATTGTATTTATCTGAAGCCTATCTAAATCCAGATAGGGTCTCTTCAGCTTCTAGGGCACTCAAAAATCAGAAGGGCTGAGGAATGCAACTGAATTTTCTTCATATGGTGATGTCTTGTTGGAAAGGGAGAGAAGGTGTCTTCCATGTACTCTAGCAGCCCACGCCCCCAACTTCAAACTGCTATTCAGGCCATACTCAAGGTGTTGTTCAACATCATGTTTTCTAGATAATAATATATGAGAAAACCCACTTTGGAGGATGGTCCAAAGAATTTTCAGAAAACATCAGTTCTGTTCCAGCTCTGCTTGGTAGTGAAGAGGAGTTTCAGAAAATTGGATCAATACGTGTAATTGGTGGAGTGTAAGTATATTTCACTTCTATGTTTATTTCCTTTAAAATAGGAAAAATAAATGCTAAGAAGTACTAACTAAGGGGTGATTAGAATCTCTCACTGGTGAGATATTTTTAAAAGAAGGGAGTATGTGTTTATATTGTCAATTATCAGCTGTGGATAAAACCACCTCTCCATATGGCTTATCTGTCTAAGGGAATATAGGCAGATAAAACTGTGTGAGGGGTGTGAAGTCAGTGTTTACTCTTTGGATTACAATAAACTGGGCCACTTTGTTATGCAATGACACCATTCACACAGAGCTTTGATTTATATTGCTTTATACTTCTGAAAGTATCTACCTAATTTTATGAAATGATCTTGGGTAGGTGGTGTGGTCAGTGTTCAGTTTGACATTTTAATGCCTCTGAAATCTCTAATCTGTTTTATTGTCTTAATGGACACTTGTTTGGACCTTTGCCACTTGTTGCATTATACCTGGAATTAAGAATCTACCTATTTTCCCTCATTGAGGCCTCAGATTGATTTTTTTGTTGTCCTGCCCCTCTTTGTCATACATACGCGTGCATGAAAAGGGCCATGTAACGTAGTCTTACACAGACTACTCATGAGGTAGGCTCAGTGCCAGCTATTCTAGACACCTACCAAACCACATCTTGTTCTTTCTACCTCTCCCAAGACCCAACAGGATAGGACTGTTTGAAAGCATGCAGGATGGTTGCTTCTGCCAAAAATCTTAGCAATAAAATAGTTTTCAGAAACTTTTTTCCTTAGGGGATTTCAGTGTTAATGCTTCAACAGAAAAATTCAATTACTTACATCCTTTTGGCTGTATGCTTTCATATGTGTTGTCAGAACCTTAGAACAACTAAATTAAAAATAAACTTAATTGTGAATATTCAATCTATTCATAAATACATTATATATTCCCTACCTGGGAAGCCTCAAATGATTAAAAAGTCCTCCTTCTGTCTGTTGTGGCAGCTTTTACTTTTAATACTTTGGCAACTTAAACAGCTGAATTAATGTAAACCAAATGGTACTAAAAGTAAAGCTATCCCTGCCTGCCAAATTTCAATGCTGACAGAATTTTTACTGCAGTTCTAATACTTAGGAAATGCTTGCAGGAAAGGAGAAGGGGGAAGCACTTCTTCAAGTTAAGATACATTAGAGCCTTCAAAGTTGATGTGGAAGTTCCTTCTCATATCAAGTCTTATCTTTGTTTGAAATGTTTTAAAAACTTTTACTCCCTTAGTGCTAAAACATATTCCATATGCAATATATTATATATATTAAATTCATTTGTATATTCATATGCATATGTTTTTAAATTAGAGCAGGAAACAATATAAGAGGGTGAAATTTTGTTCTGCTAAAATCCATTAATTTTATCACCAGATCTAGCAAGGTTGCAATCTAATTCTTTATTAATATACTGAAGAGATCTACTGCTTGATTTTTATGATAGATAGTTGTTGTCTTACAATGTTTTGGCCACTAGATGCACACTAACCTCTACAGTACCAAATATTGGTACTGGGAATACGTCTGAATGTACTGAGAGGAGGCACAGGAGAAGTGTAAATAAATTTAATTTTTGTGTAAACAAATAAATAAACCAGCTGTTAGAGGAACAATCACATGTCAGGATTGTGATCCACAAAGAACACTTAATGGATGCCTGTTGTGATTTCAAACAAGCATTGCTTTGTTTCTTAGCTGAATCTATGATATTCATTTCAGTGTTTCCCCTTTTATTTATTATAGAAGATCATGTCTGCAGTTGTTTTGTTCTTAGTTATATCTCTTCTGTTGTGTGGTTGCTGTAGATGGGTTGCCTATGATAAGGAACGCTACAAAGGCCATCAGTACTTGCTGGAAGAGGGAGATTATGAAGACAGCCAGTCATGGGGGGGAACTGACAGTGTCCTGTCTTTCCGATTCCTTCAGGCTGTAAGTACTTTTATGAATTTCATGCAAATTATGCACAGTTCGATATGTAAGAGGAAGGTTATTCTTCTTATCTAGTACAGCTGTCTTGGGTTTAGACATTCTGTCTTTTGCCCAGTTTCATTCTCATTCTTTTCCTACTTGCTGAAATTTATACTTCACTGTATACATTGTAAAGCAGAAACAGATTCTAAATGGCCTTTGTGAAGTTTATACAAAGAATGTGTCATGCAGAATTCCTTGTCTACCTGCCAGACTTTCTAAGCATCTCACTTTGTGATTCAAGCTATTTGAATCTCTAGAACACCAGTTTCAGTTCAGCATGTGTAAATGTACACTATAGTTCTGCATTAAAATAAAAATAGCTTTTCAACACAGCAGCTGTTGCAGGCCTTAAAACAGCATTACCCTCTGTCTCTATGATTTTTGTGCCAGAAAATTTTGGCAGCAAAAAATAATCATGGTGGAAAAAATCCATTTTACTAAAATGTGTTTAGTGGAGGCAAAGATGAAACAATAATAAAAGCTATATCAGATTCCAGTATCAGAAGCCGACTTAGACTTTCCAGTGATGGGGAAATGTAGAATTAGAACTTCTTCATCACTTCCTTTGTGTGGTGTTTCATTAGGTGGTTGTTTTGTAGTGTTTTTGTTTGTTTGTTTGTTGTTGTTGTTGTTTTTTTGTTGGGTTTGTTTTGGGTTTTTTGGTTGGTTGTTTTTTTTTATTTTTTCTTGCTCGTTTGTGGGTTTGAGGATTTTTTATTATATGAATACTGTGAGCTTTAAATACAGCTGCAAAGAGCGACTCCTTTTGAGTATTAGATCACTCTGAGATTACTGTCTTGTATACTCAGATTACTCATCTCCTCATCTGAGGAGAAGTGATATTCCTGAGCCAAGACTTTTGTGAAGTTTGAAGATAGGCATTTAGAGCAAACTCACTGTCTCTGCAGTCACTATCCAAAAAAAAAAAAAAAAATCAGGAAAGTTAATGTGGACTCAAAAAGGCCGTACATTATTCATGGTCAGCTTAGGCAGGGAATGGGAGACTGGGCATTGACTTTTTATACATAGTACCGGTGTGGCCTCATGTGGGGGCCAGTCCAGCTAGACTTTTTTCTTGGTTTTGCTCGGGCATGACACCAGCTGAACTTGACTCTGTTGGCTTTAAGGCCAGCACAGACCTGAAAACAATTTAGCCTGGCTTACATGGCATGAAGCAGAAGCTAATAAGCCCTGTGTGCCTGAGTCAGCTCCAGGCAGAGTCATACCAAATGTCTTTGTGCCGTGCTCCCAAAGCAGGGAGTGTGGCACAGAGGCACGTAAATGGCCCTGTAGAGAGCCAGCGTGGGCACGGTGTGCCTCATTAGCCTGCATCAGTACCGGCTCTGTCAGCCTGGATTAGTTCTATGCAAAGCTATTCAGATGTTCCTGTGCCACTGTGCTCTACGTGACAGGCTCCACCAGACCTAGGAAAATCTAACCCATGTTTCTGTACACATACCAGTGATTGCAGTTGAGCTGAGGCTTGAGTTTAATTCTTTGACAAATCAGAAACGTTAGGCCTTGCAGACAAAAGAGAGATTGTTGCAAGTCACTCCCCACCCACTGGTGAAGATGTACACACGTGTAGGCATACTGCAAGTGCTTTCGGGTTTTATCTGTCTCAAATATTTCTTCTATGAACAGTCACAAGCTCTAATGTGGAGATTCAGGGAGCGTTTTCTAAGCAGAGATACAAAGGACTTGTAGAATTTTTTTTTTTCCAGCATACTGCCAGCTCTGTTATCAGCATCTATATTGGACACACCGGCATCAAATAGTGTTACTGAGGGCAGGCAGAAGTTAGTACTTTGTGCTGTCTTAGGGGACAGCTGCATTTCTTTCTTTTCTACACTGTCAAATGAGAGAATCTGTGAAGCTGGGGTTTGCCCATGGCTGTCATGATCAGGGAAAGAGCAAAGTTTCTGAGTCTCTTTCTGTGGAGGAGAGTATGTTGGCTTTGGAGCTTTTCCAGTAATGTTTGCAAGTCTAAAATGATCTGTCTTGGTCTGAAAGTTTTTAAGTATTTATCCTGTTGCTTATTGTAAGAGGAGCTGTAGTGAAAATACGTGGAGGAAAAAATAATAGCTGAGTTTGAAACATGTTTTAAATGTAATTACAGTTGTGGATATATTTCAGTATTTTAAATTTAGTCAAAGTAATTATGTGGAGATTTGATCTCAATGGCTTTTCAGGAACTCTTACAGTACTTGCTTTAGGACTGCTAAAAGTAGTGGTTTTTTTCATTTGTGCTAAAATGGCACTAGCTTGGGATTTGTTTTTTTTTTTGGTTTTGTTTCTCTAACAAATAGTCTGAAGCTGCTCAAGAGGATTTTTCCAGACCTAGCACTTCAGTTTCTAGCATATACCTGAAGTAGCTGCAACTTTTTAAATAAGTGAAAGAAGGAGATAGTCAATATGGTAGGAAAACCATTTTTTTTCCCCACTACTTTTCAGTGTCCTGTGAACAATGCAGAGAGGTTGAGTCACATGGAGTGTTTGTTCTAAAATTAATTTTCGTTGTGATTGAATCCTATACAATGGTGTCCTCTCAAGGGCCTGTTTGATCAGGTTCATCTGACCAAATGAATCTGTGTGCAGGCTTGGCCTGCCCTTAATTTCTAAGTGTTTTTTGATTATTATAAGTTATTTTCTCATTGTAGCCTTCAGTATCCAGCTATCTGGTTGGTAGCTTCTAAGTGCTACAGCAGCAAGTATTTAGTGTAATAACTTCTGTGACGGTGTCCTCATATTTGTGAATATCTGTCAGGTCCTGTATTTGCTTGATAGCCTTTTCTCTTGTTGCAAGATGTGCTTACTTGCAACTTCATAAGACATGGCTGAATGTTTCAGAAATACTGAAATTGAATTAAGTTCATGATTTTTGTTAAAAGTTAAAGGAATAGAGTGGATTGTGGTTTTCTGTTTGCCCAAGCAGTGACTGAATTGTGTGCTTAAAATTGCTAAATGGTTAAAAAGTTGAAGATTTGAAACCCAAATTCAAATAATCTGAAGCTATGCAAGTAATCTGGTCAAGCAGCTCTGCTATCTGATAGCATGAAGAAATGTCACATGCCTGTGTAAGAGAGAATGTAAGTGTCATGTGGGATTTGTTCTATAGTGATTAGTCATATGTATCCAAAAACTATAAACCCCTTGTGCTCGAAAGGTGATCATGCTCAGTCTTTTCATTCAGAAGGGATGAGGAGTGAGAACTTGAATGCTTGGAGTAATCATTTGCGAGGCAGTCAGAAGATCAGTTCTAAATCTCCAACCCTTCTCTTTCCCACACAAGCATCTTTGCACCCTCAGTCATCCTCACAGAGGAAAGGATGGTGCTCATGGGCAGCAGGTTCTTCCTCTCTTCAGTGGAAACCACTGAAGGCTGTGTCAGGTTGGCAGTTTTCCAGCTAAGGACTTCCAATGCCAAAATATCCTATAAAGATCCACACAGGGGACCTAAGTCCCTTCACTGCTTTAGAAAATGCTGTTTTTCAGACATTTCCAAAATGTTTTATGTTGTGAGCTGTGATAGCCAGTGTTCTAACTCCTGTGCTGCCTCTTAGGATTTCATAGAATCATCACTGGCACTTTTTCAGTCTGATGATGAAGATGGAAAAGCATTAAACATTACCAATGAAGAAATCCCTGATTTGGAACAGGCTGGATTTGGCCCAGAGACGCAGTCAATTCTTGTGAAAAGTGGAGTGTAAGTCTATTGAAATATATGGATGGAAGTATTAAATATTTTTGTGCACAGTTGGGTTTGGGTATATCTACTGAGAGAATATATTTCACATGATACAGGTAGTAAATATTTTGGGGAGAGTAATGTTTCTTTCCATTTACTTGGTAAATGGAAGAAGAAAATATTTTCTCTAGATCTCATGCCTACACCTTGATTTGAATTCATGACAGATTATTATTTATGACAGATTCATAAATGGGTGCTAAAAGGAGTAGGAAAGGAGATGTCCTCCAGTATCCATAATATAACAGTCCCAGGTGCTGGCTGACAGTGAGTCACACACCACCAAAAGTGGCTAAATTAGTGGCATCTCTCTAGCTAGCCTCTGTCTACTTCTGCCACTGCCCAGAAGCGTGTGTGTTCAGGGCTAGAGGAACCCTCTTACGTGGTTGGGAATTTGTTTCTTCTTAAATTAAAGCAGAGACAAAAGTGTGGCAAAAGCTTGAAGTGCTAACCATTGCAAGCTTGTGCTTTATCTCATCTTATCAAGGCTTGTTCATTTACTTCTGTTTTTTCTTGCACCATTTTTCTTAAATCCAACTGGAAAAGTTGGAAGAAAGCCCTGTCTGAAGGGTTGTTTAAACAGGTAAAGATTCAACTGAGAGAGGTTCAAAGACTTGTCAGTTGTGTCTTTCCTCTGGACTTCTAAGCAAGGCATCATCTCATGCTGAATGTATGTTTGATAGGACAGAGACCCACAGCTTTTGTGTTTGTCAAAGCAGAAAAGCAAGTGTCTAACAATTACACATCTCTCATTGGTTTTAATGTTGCACTGTCTGTCAGATGGACTTACCAAGAAAACTCTGAAGAAACTGTTCTATTTAACTTGTTACTATTGCCATCAAACTACCCAGAAAAATGTGATGTTTTCAGTTTAATTTTTGTGTTGTTCTCTAGGTGGGTCGCATATCAACAGAAGTATTTCTGTGGAGAACAATATATACTGGAGAAAGGAAAATATAAATGTTTCTTTGACTGGGGAGGATCTAGTAAAATGATCATGTCAATTCGACCTATTAAGCTGGTGAGTTACCAGAACATGTTATGGGGAGAACCTAGAAGAAATGAATGAGATCTTTGGAGTTCAGAGCATACAATGATGTTATAAAGTAGACTGTGCTGTTTATTTGTATATTTACTTGTAAACTATTTGAAGGCTCTTGTGAATGACATAATGAGTCTGTTCAGGATGGAGAGTGAAATGGATGCTTTGGCTCTTCCTATCTGTTGAAAACATTATCAGGAAAATTTTGTAAGAGCTTCCCTTTGGCAGGCTGTATTCATGGGAAGAATAACCTAGCCTGGAATGATTAATTTGCCTTAAAGGATAGTAATTTATAATGCTTAATTGATAACTGATATAAAAATACTTGATAATTTCTCTGGCCTATATTGGGTGTTTATAGCAGAGGTCTGACTCTTTTGTTCAATGTTAAAATATTTGTAATACAGTGAATAAAGACAGGAAATACTTTTAATCCATTGTTAAATCCAAAGTAGTGCAGCTTGTCCAACTAATTAATGCTAATGCAGGTTCTCTGTGTAAGAGACAGGTGGACATGAGCTTGCAGACAGCTGATGGCAGAGGCTGGGAAAGAGGATTGTGCCAAGAGCCTGGGAACTGTGTTTCTCTGCTCTTGAATTCAAACGTAACAAATTTCAGGAACTTGACTTGTCTTCTGGGAAATTAATTGAAATTAATTTTATGTATTTATATGCATGTATTCATATTTATTGTTGCAGGAACCTCTTGGAACAAATGAGCCTCCACATTTGGTATGTTGACATTATATAACAGTCTCTAGTACTAAACTACATTTAATCATTAAATACATGTAGTCTTGAATGTCTTTCTTTGTTACTTCAGATGATATCTCAGTATTTTCATCCTGATGCAGCACACCATTAGTGGAGGGAACTGGTAGATGTATAAAAGTTAAGTTTGCTAAATGCTAAATTGCTCTTTGCTTTATTCCAGATCACACCCTTTAGTATCCTGGCCTCAAAAATGCAAGCAGTTCAACAGGTTTTGCGTGACTTTGGGTCTCTGTAGCTAGTTATTTTCCTCTTCTTTCCTTCCTGTTCTGGAAACTCACCATCACGTGCATTCATCCTTCTCTTTGAGGCATATTTTCTTTCCATTGTATCTGGTTTGTCACTGTCTTGTTCGTATTTGAAATGAAGACAGTATAAGCTGCAGAAACTTGAACTGTGCTTTTCAAATGTGCAGGTGCCTCAACAGCAGAAGCTGGGTTTTTGAGTCTTGTATGCTAGTGGTTCTGCTCTTTGTAGTCTCCCAAGCATGTATAGCTGCTCCATAAGGAGCAGGTACCTCTTGCTCTTTGCTTCCCTTTTCCTGACAGTAACATGACCCTAACTGAACATATCCTGATTACAGTAAATCAATTATGAATCTCTTCTACAATACATTCTGACAATTTCAATGACAGTTGTGTATCAATTTGTGACAACATATAAAGAGAAAGTGATCCCTGTAATTCACTTTTAGTCTCAAGGAGTTATTTAAGGGCTTACACCTTTGGTCCTTAACCTACACAATTATGTTCCAATATTGTACCTTTGTGATATCTTTCTAAACCAAAAATCTGCTCCAAGTGTTTGTACTCGTGACCCTGCACGGTCATTGTCTCCCACAATGTTCTGTCCCAGCAAAGCTCTCCTTCCATCCTACATTAGTTGTCTGATTTTTCTTTTTCTGTCCTAGAGTGTGCTGCTAGCATGGGTGGTGATCTAAGTGGTTAAATTGCTCCCTCTGTGACATGCTTTTAATTAAGCCGTTTTGGAAAACTTCATTTCAAAAAGTATGACATTTTTTCAGACAAAAGAGACTTTAGAGCTCAATGGTTCTGTTTCAGAGAACTTAAGTATTTTGTCATCAGGACACAGTTTTTCTCTTTCTTGCTTGGAGGGCTATAATAGCCATAAGCACGTGGGAAATACATATATTGTGTTACTTAGCAGGTTGACCACACCCTGCTTTTTCTTCAAGTATTCTAGTTCTACAGTTTTATGATTAACCCAGGACTACAGGAAATGTTTCCTGTCTGAATACATAATTGGTGTATTATTTTAGTCTTAAACACTGATTTCCTGCCAGACTTATTCACATGGCAGTTTGCGGCCAAACACAAAGACTTGCAAGTACATTCATGCTTTGGTAAATTATACCAGATAAAGTAGCTCAGAGAAAACCAGTGGGATCCAAGCAGTTGAAGATAATTTTCTTTCAATCTTCAAATCTTCTGCTTTTTTCCAAATATCCCAAAAACTATTCTTTAAGTGCTTTAATCCAGTTTTGCAAACCTTTAAAGATCATTGAAGCCTTTGAAGTTTCAATAAATTGTGCTTTACAGTCAGTTTTATTTCCAGTAATATGTGGAAGAAAACCCTGTGTATTTGCACAACCACCTTTAAATACTGAAATACTAGATTGTGGTTTACCTTTTGTGTTCTCTAATAGCAGTTGTAACACCATTTGTAAAAAAAACAAACCTGTCATGATTAGTCACAATCCTGGTTTTCGTTGGATTCTGCCCTAAAGCTAGAGAAGGAAGAACATTATTTATATTGCTACAGTTCTTTTAGGAGTTTTGAGTAAGTTTGTATGGGATACATTTACTTACTTAGGAGAAGTAAAGGATGGTCTTTTGGGTAAATATGAAGAATTTCCCATTCACAGTGAAATAAAAGTTTCCATGTATGCAACACTCTCTTAGTTTGGAACTTCAAAGCATGGTATGTTTGAGCTGGCAAATCCCTAAGCATCCTAATGCTTGACCCTTGTATAAGACATTTACCAGTTATTTTGAATGATTATACATTTTCATACCTTTAATAAATGTATCTGAGCTAAGGGAACCGTTTTCACATTCTCGTAGACTGTCTTTCTCTTCTTGTGTTCACTTCTGCTTTTAAGTACAACTAAATTTTCTTAAATCTCTTAGTAATTCCCATGACATTTTCCTCCTGCCAGGCTCACGAATAAACAAAGTACATATAAAGTACTTCATGACATGTAATGTCTCCTGTGAGGACAGACTGAGAGAATTGGGGCTGTTCATTCTGAGAAGAGAAGGCTCCGAGGTGTCCTTATTGTGGCCTTCCAGTATCTTAGGGGGCCTACAAGAAAGCTGGGGAGGGACTTTTTAGGATATTGAGTAATGACAGGACTAGGGGGAATGGGGCAAAGCTGGAAGTGGGCAGATTCAGGCTGGACATGAAGAAGAAGTTCTTCAGCATGAGAGTGGTGAGACCCTGGAATGGGTTGCCCAGGGAGGCGGTTGAGGCCCCCTCCCTGGGGGTCTTTAAGGCCAGACTGGATGAGGCTCTGGGCAGCCTGATCTAGTGGGAGGTGTCCCTGCTCATGGCAGAGGGGTTGGAACTGGGTGATCCTCGTGGGCCCTTCCAACCCTGACAGATTCTGATCTGTTTTAGCAGAGGACTTAGTAGTGTTGGCTTAATGGTTGGACTTGATGATCTTAGAGGTCTCTTCCAAGCTAAAGGATTCTATGATTCTATAATGTAAGAATGCCTGAAATCACCAACTCTAAAGAGCCATTCATTTTATTTATTAAAAATAAAACTTGGGTTTCCCCAGCAAGAACAAAGCCTGTTCCAATAGCAAGTGACTTTTCTACAAATGATTTAGGAAGCAGAGATATTTGCTGTGATAACTTGTACTTTTACTTTAACATGCTGTCTGTTGACCTTTTAGGAAGTGAAACCTCATATAGTAATGCCAAACCCTTACAAAGCAGAGATGAGACTGCAGTTTGAGACTAATTGCAGATATACAGTGTTTTTGCTGAGGACTCAGTACTTCACCTTCACTCCTGTCAAATTAAGGCCATCACTCATAACTCATTTTTATATAGAATAATAGACTTTTTTAAAAGCCTTGCATAACATCTGGCCTGTGAAAGAAAGACAGTGTGTGTGTATATATATATATATATATATATATGTATATTCCTTTATACAGAGCTTTGAGTTAAGTGGGTAGAAAATACTATTTAATTATATCTTAAATAGATGCATCATGACATAGCAGTGCAAGTATATTTACAGAAAAATCAGTTAGTTACACTTAATACATTATTTTGTATTAAAATATTATATTGATTTGTGTTTTTCAGTTTGCAGTTACAGCATCCAAGGCCAGGCTAAGCCTTTCTTGTTCTTTCTAACAGGAAACATATTCATTTAGTTTAAAAACGGCTAAGCTTTTCCATAAAATCATTTGCTGATACTTGTGTTTGGCCTTTTTGCTCGTTACTGGCAAAAACACTTGATTTCTTTTCTTTGGCAGGAAGCTAGGCCAATTTGGGGCATGAAGGGGGAACTAAGTCTTGCATCAGCCATCATGTTTTTCTTCCATTACAGAATGTGAGCTGTTTGTTCTCTTGATAAAGATAAATTTTTCATTCTTTTCCAGCCTCTCTTTCAGGCTTTAAAGTGAAATTAACCTCAGTTGCATTGTGACAGCCCAAGGGTGCAGAATTCTAGGTGATTTGCTGTAGAACATAAGCTACATCATACTCCTTGTTTGTTTGTTTTTTTTCTCTTACTGCAACACTTTCAACTTCATTGCTTTTTCAGGGATCTTACTGATGGGGTATGGTTCAGTGTGGTTTGAAAGTTCTTCACTGAGACATGTGAGAACAGCTTTGCTGAACTTTAGAAGTTCATGGTGCATTTACCAGGCTGTATCCAATTTCCCCAGAAATTCTCCTCCTAGTTCTTAGGTGAGAAAGTATTTGTGATCACTGTGGTCACAGAAGATTTCACGGCACTTTGTCAACAGTAGCCCTGTATCTTTTCACCAGCGCTTCACCATCCTGTTCTGAACACTACATTGCTGAGCTGTAGCTGCAGCTCAGACGTACTTTGGATGGAAAATAATATCCTTCTCTTTGTCCAGGCCTTCTCCTCCTGCATTTGAACTTATGCTTGATACACTGTCTTACAATCATTGGGAAGCACCCTGTATCAGGCCCAGACATGATAAAACACTTGATCTTTCTAAAATAAAGGAGCTGTAGAAGTGTAAAAGATTCTTTAAATGACAATTTGTTCTATTTGTTGTATCTTTGTGAATTGAATGGATACTTCTTTAAGAGCACAGCTATCTCTATTTACATTAATGATAATGCATTCGTTTTCCTTCTAGTCATTAGTTTTGTTTTGTTTTGTTCTTGTAGCTCAAAGCTTTCAGTAATACATATTTCCAAGGAACATGTATAGATTTCACATCAGAAGTTTCTGATTTTACATCATTCATACCATGTTCATTTAAGGTTCTTCGAGGATGGTAAGTCTGTTGTTTTACATGCCACCATTTTAAGTAATACAATTTTTTTTTAAACACTACTAAATTTTAGATAATTGGAAGTGCATAACACATGCCCATCATACTCCATCATGTCTTAGACCCTTTGTCTTGCAGTGCATCTCAGTAACTGTCATCCTGTCATTGGTTTGGGCAGCGTGTATTTTACCTTCTCTGTGGGAAGTTTGCACAGTTACTGTGATTCTGTTTTTAATTCCACTTAGAATTTATTCCAGATTTTGAGAACTTGGTACGGTAGAAGTGCCTGCATTCCACTTGCATCGTTTGATTCTGGAGCTGAGATTTCTGTACCACATGATTTGATTTTGCTGCTTTGGTTGCTTTGTCACGTAGACTTTCAAGCCACTTTGTAAGCTTAACAAGAACAAACAAATTTTTTATTCTTTATTTCCTTAGCAAACATTAAATCTTGAAAAAAACCTTATTGTTACTAAGCAGCTAGAGCAGCTAATCTTCTGTTGTTCCATTATTCTTGCAGTTGGCTCCTGTATTACCAAGGGGAAATCACTGACAATCACTGCGTGCTGGAAGAAGGCCTCTACGTTGATCTCAGTTCCTGTGGCTGTCCAAGTGCTACAATCAAATCCCTCAAGCCTATTCATTATGTAAGGATTTTATTAAAAACAAAACAAACGCACCCTCCCTCTACACCCCCCCCCCCCCCCAAAAAAAAAAAAAAGCCCAAAACCCCATTTTGAACTCTTTCGATAGTCAGATGTCTGAAGCAAATGCTTGCACTAAACAGACTCCCACTCAGAGAAAAAAGAAGTTTGTTTTCTTGGCTCACGGGTTGTTTTGGGTTAGGAACAAGCCATGCTGCATGACATGGTCAATTCTAGGCACGTGCTTTTGGGTGTTCTGGGACTAAAGGTGCTGTCTTTTGTATGAGTTGCATTAGTTGGCATTTTTCTGACTGTTCTTTATAATACAGCTCAGCAAGCTTAGTGAACAATGTGACGTTTTGTCATGCTGTCTAAACATTTGGGGCTTCTTTTATTAGGGCTATGTCCAAGGCTCAGTCTCAAAGCAAAGTACACACAGAAGACATGAAAATGGAAATTACAAGGTAGAATATGCTTGCCATAATGCTATTTAATTTACTTTTTTATAGAAATAGGAAAGGCTTTCACCTCCTAATCGTATCTCAAATCATGGGTCAATGAAGTGGTGTGATAAACCATGCACATGGCCTGCCAGCTGTTTAGGACACTTCAGATAGTCCAGACCAAAGCTCTTATGGCCATCCTCTCTCTTGCTGACTTCTGATACACTGGACAAGTACTTATTACACATGCATATAGTCTTCATGTGACTTTATGATCCTGTTTGTTATACTATCCAAGCACACAACTTGCAGTCCATTGTAGCAGTTTAAATGAGACCCTAGGTCCTATATGGCCAGGAGACTGGACAGAAGTGCATTGTACTATCCGGTACAGGATAGATACAACCTTTTGTACATCCTGTTGTAATCCTGCATGCAAGACATATGCTCTGGAGTCTTGCTGTCCTGTCTGTGCCTTTGTCCCATATCTTGGTATGCTCCTATGCAAGGGCACCAGAAATAAGCTGGCCATAAGGCCATTAGTAAAAGAGAAACAAGTTGCTGCTCTGATTACTTTTCTTTAGCACTGACCAACTTCTCCAAAACTCTTCCTCCTTCCCTGGTCACAGAACACAAACTCAATCTATGTGATTTGTGCACTTCAACGTAATTCCTACAAAACTAGACTTTAAAGATAACTCAGTTCAGTTTACTTCAAGTATTAAATCCTTTTTTCCATTTGTGAACAAATTTAAAAAAAAAAGATAAAAGCCATGTCATAGTGGGAAGGATGTACAGCTTGAGTTTGAGAGCTGGTCTTTTCACTAGGTTTCATAGATACAGTGACTTCAGTGGAGCTACAGCTTCCCACCTGCTGAAAGCCTGATTTTTAGTTTAAAGGTCTTCTTTTCATGTTAGGCTTTTGGACTCTGTTCTCCTAAATCAGAGTGACGTTTTGACATGAAATGGTAGATCTCATCCAAATCCTTCAGCCTATGATTTCCCAGGTAAGTAACTGCAGTATAGCATAGTAAGAAGCTACTGGTAGCCCTTGATTACCAAGGGCCACGTCCTGGGAGAAGTTAATTTGATAGGCCCTATGTGAGAAGCTTACACATGTCTTCCTGTACTTTGTAAGTGGCTTGCACCTTTTAGTTCAGTTTGTCTCTTGCAAATAGAAGCAAGAGAGTATTTCACAAAATTGAGGCACTGAACAGCATGAAGTGCTCTTGAACCACACCTTTTTCACAGATAGAAATGCCCCCTTAGGCCCCTAAGACATTGTGAGCACTGGTGGCACAATGGAATAGTGCTCCGAGGCATTGTGTGCTACCCACGGGATGTTGAGCACGCAGCAGTGAGTGTGGCCAGAGGCAGCCCTAGTTCATTCTGTGCATTGTCTACAATGCACTGTTCTTGGAACAGAGCCCTTTTTTAGAAGATATTGCTCTCCTGAATGAGCTAACAGAAATAAGCGTATTCCCAGGTGGAACTGTTGTATTGCTTTGTTGAATTCAGCTATGATGCTGGGAACACCTTCCATTATTCAGCTTTAAATACCAGCCTAATTTCAGCCCTAAGGCATGTATCTTGTTCTCACATGTAAGACGGAGAATCTTCAACTCTGACACCAAGTCCTCAATGTACATTGTCTCCTGCTCTCCTTTTAGTGATATGTATTTGCTGCAAGTGTAACTGTTGGAAGGACTCATGCACAGGAGGGACCCATGTATAGCTTCAGTGTGTGAGGTTTCTGCATCCCAGATGTTGACCAGAAGTAGAGGTCCATGTATGGCACTAGCAGAAGGGGAAAAAAAATGTGCATTTAGCAGTACAAAAGGGTAGCTCATTACCAGCCTTTGAAAACAGTCTGGGTCCCTTAACTGGTGCAGGTGTGGTCCAGCTACATATTTTATAAGTAGGTGGTTTCAGCCAGTCCTTTGGGATAGAAGAACAAATCCACTGGAGGAAATGGGGACACAGGACCTGGGTATTCCCTTTCTAACTTGCAAAATTGTAATCATAATTAACTATATGTTACTTTGATATCATACAGCTGAGTAAAGTCCTGGCTCTGAGCCTTTATCTGCAGGATGCATGTAAGAATATAGATTATTTGAGCGGGTAGCTGTGAAACACAGGAGTCAGCACAGGCCACTGACACCACTGGGGTGTGCAGCTTGGCTGGACATCCTCACAGATTTCTGCACATTTCTCAAGAAATTCAAATTAATGTGGTTCCACTTTTGTTATTTCCCCATATATTATGCACTAGTGTCATAGAAGAATTAAGTACATCTTTGTAACCTGTTTTCTCTACTGTTTGTTCAGGAAGCAGCAAAGCAGAAGTTAGGCAGATTTGTAAGGAGAGTGGGGAAGGCATTTACTTATTCCTAGGAACCTCTTTTCAATCTTAGCTTATTCTACAAGTGTTCTGCCTATGACCAGGCCCAACAAAAATGATAGCACCAGCAGGAAGAGAATCCAATACGCAGACTGTGTTGTAGACAAAAGCGTTATGATATGAATGACCGCCAGGGCTACAAACAGATCAATCAGCTGATACACAATCGACGCCACCCCCAACGATCCCACAAAAGACATGACTCGTCCCACAACAGGTGGTATAAACAGTGAGCCGAGGTTGCCCACAGTTGGCATGGGAAACAGCCAGACCAGCCAGTTAAACACATGAGAAAAAGGTGCCCACATGGCAACTCTCACCCGATCGACCCACGTTCGCAAAGGTCTAAACGGACCGTGGCCCAGCTCCAGGGAGAGTCAGGAGGTCTTCCCTGAACCAGGACGCTCTGTGGAGTGCACTCCACAGACAGACACTCCTGACTCCCTGCAAGTGGTCCCAGCTTTTATCCCCAAGCAGACACCTGACCTTTGTCAACTCAATGGGGGACCCCTGGGGCTCATTTCCCTTATGGCTCTCCCTGCAGGGCCGGCCGCACCCTGGGGGGAAGCTATAAGGCAAACTCACCACCTCTTTATGAAGGGAATCACCCATATGTCAACCTCAATTTGGGGCTTGGTGTTCAAACCCCAGCATTTCAACAAGATATATAATATGCAAACTAAACCTTTAGGAGGCTTTGCCTTTATTTTTTCCCTGCTGTTCCATTTCGCTTAAATTCAGACTGAACTGTCTTGTCCTTCTGGAAGCATTTAGGAAAAGCTATAGGTTAATGAGAGGATATGAAGGAGGAACAAAGCGTATCTGTGCCTTGATAATGAGAAAATAATGTCCTTAGTGTTCAGTATTCTGGAAGGAAAAACAGTGTTGCAATACCCATGTATGACTCTAGATTGCGTATTGAATAGTGATGTGTTACGTGGCCTCCTCCCTTCTGAAAAGGGGAATGGTTCTGAGAGACCAAGGAGTCTTTTTCTTGTACTATTTTATAAGTGGGAAAAATAGGCTAGAAAATATGTCTCACAGGAATATATTTCTTTAAGTGAACAGGCAGTTACAGACTTTGGAAGCTGACAACATTAGAAGGGTGCACATCTATTTAGTAGCAGTAGGAACTCAGGAACTGGTGTAACTTGCCCCTCATCATCTCCTTTCATCTAAAAATCCCAAAGCTCTCTTTAAGAAAAGCTTGTTGATGAAATTTGCTGGTCTTGTTAAGAGCCATTCTGCAGATGGGTAAAAGCACAGCACAGGTTAAGGGTTGCTGCATTTGGTGGAGAGAGGCAGGGTTTTATGCCTGCATCAGTGAGGACTTGCCTTCTGCATTGCCATGAACTCATGAAAAGGAAACTGTGGGTCACTCATCTGGCAGCAAGAGAGCAGGTGAAGTCACCTGGGCCATTTATAGGGCTAGTGTTGCTTATTGAGGCATTTGTCCAGTTTTTGTTGCTTGAAGAGAATAATCTTTTGAGATAGAGACTCTTATGAGATATTCTTAAAGTGGGGAGTTCAGGTCTCATGCTACCTTTACTCAGGTATGTTCTGTCAAACTCCTTGTAACATTTGGTGTGACTTACATGGACAACAATATCCAGGATTGTTGCAGTGAGTAATTAGTTTTCTTTCTAAAATGTTAACTTTAGCCCTGAAGTTAAACTAGTCTTATAGTTTCTAAAACCAAAAATGAGATCTGTAGCTTGTAAGGTTGGGTTTTTTTTTCTTTTCTTTGCTCTTTTGAGACATTCCTTATTCTTGGTCCAATCAATTATGATAGTTGCTGTTTTTCTATGTTGATTACCTTTTCTAAGTTAAACACTAATGTTAACTAATCTCCCCAGCATTCCCATGAGGCAAGTCATGAAACCAGATACAAAATCTAATTGGTGTTTCCCGGGGTCAGGCTATGAGTCATTTTGTGTAGCTGGGACTGGACCATGCGTGTGACTGTCATCCAGCACCATGTCTCTCTCCCTCAGCCAGGCATCCTTCCCACACTGCAGGGAATAGCCAGGCGAGCACAGCTTCAGTAAAGACAGTTATAAATTAGGAGTTAGCCAAGACCAAAGAGTAAAGATTTTTCCAAGGATGTCATAATACAGCTGTGGAGTCTCCTCCAATTAAGGCTCTGGCAAATGCTGTTTGCAATAGCAACAGGTTAGCAGGGATAGAAACTGGGGAAATGTACCAGCCCTCACCATAACTGTAATACAGTCCAGTGGATTTCTGTCTTTGGCTTTATTAGGCTTTCCTATCAAAGTTTGCAAAATCCAAGATTCCAAAAATAATGTGAGAGGAAAAATATGTTTGCAGGTGAGCCCTTCTCAGAAAGGCTTTATTAGTAATAATTTTCACAAAATTCTTAATGAAAAATTACCCATATGTTACCCATAGCTAAAACTGTACTCATCATAAGCATGTGTGCAAATTCACTTATGCACTTGGTTTTCAGTTGTAGCACCTCTTGGTTATCCTCCTTGTGTCTGTACACTGTGGCTTTTCAGTGGGTCAAGCACTTAAGCCTTACACTGCAAACAAAAGGCATTTGAAAGAAGGCTCATGCACTGATCTTTGTTTAATGTCAAACACTTCAGGCTTCCATTACATTTTTTTTCTGAATTGGAAAAGTATAAAAATCTCTTCTGAATTATGAATAAGTTGTGGTGCACAGTTTGTCTCCATTTAAAAAAAAAAAAAAAAGAAGTAATTGAGAGAAAAGTGAGCTGAGTTGAACTGTGCCAGAGATTTTTAGTGTATTGATTTCCATGGCTTACCTTTCAGCCTCTGAAGTCATGGGGAGGGAGAAAAAAATGTGTCATTTTCATGGCATCACATGCTGTATTAGCCATAGACTACCACTCTTGTTAAGTAAAGAATATCACTGTATTTAACAGTTCATGAGATTGCTTATACCTTGAAATGCTATGTAAATATAGCCTGCCTTAATCACTGGCCTCCAGAATATATTAAATCTCTTCAAGTTTCTCCTTGGTCATTGGCATTAAAAAACAGGACAGGCAAAACTTCTTGAGACTTTATTGGTGCTGGTTTAAGCAAGGCAATCAGTTCCTTAAGGCACAAAGATCAGGTTAAGTAATGCTTTAGTGCTTTGTAGTTACTGCAGTTGGCAAGCTTTCCCCCAAAGGATGGCATTTCAGGTATTTTCCTTGAAACAACTATGAAAGGAAGCTAAGGTAATCCTGACTAGACATGCCAAAGACTTGCCAGTTGTGGGTAAATATAGATGTCTTTAGCTCATCTTTCAAAATCAAGGACTGGGATCCACCTAAAACAATGCCACAATCTGAGGTTGTCCCCTCTTGTATTCTCTGGCTCTTGGAGGGCTCTGTTCCTCACTGACCTGTCAGGATCAGGCCTCTGTGAAGAAAGCTGATCCTGTCAGTCTCAGGCTTACCTGTTGCTTATGACACTTCATCCTGAAAATGAGTGAAAGTGCATCTCAGCATTCTACAAGGAGGGTGGGAGCAAGATGCCTCTGTAGTAAGTGTAACAGCAGAACCTCAAAACCTTGTTTCTTATTGTTGGTAGTTTCTATGGAGCTATGAAAACAAAATCAGAGAAGAAGGCCAGGCCAAGTCACTGCAGCCAGCTGTTGGTGTAAAATGGTATATATAGAGAGGACTTTAGATGGCTCAATGGTTGGACTTGATGGTCTTGAAGGTCCCTTCCAACCTAAAGGATTCTATGATTCTATGAAGTGAGTAAGCTGCTCATTGCTTTATATATGGTTATGGAAAGATGAGAGCTTCAGTGTGTGAGACAGCAGCATGTTTTCTTTTTCTGTGTTTCACGTCTCTGCCAAGATCATTGGAGTCCTCCTGAGGTCTTAATGGAAAGATGGTATCAGTCCTTGTCATCAGTTGTGTGTGTGTCTCATAGATGCAATGTCTGCTGTGTACTGACAGGCTGTGAATGAGCAACTCGACAGGGCTTTCTCAGGCCCATTGAGTTGAAACAGCGTCAAACACCTGAGAGTCATTTTAATTGACTCCAACAATTTTGCTGTTCTGATTCTTGGTGTATAAATGAATATGCTGGATTAGATTTGTCCATCTCGTACAGCGTCCATGTCTCTTAACATACTGAATATTGCAACAGCAAGGTAAATTTCAGGCTTTCTTAAGATGTCTAACAACAAGGATGGCAAATCGTGTTCCCCATGCTTACTAATGCACCTGTGAAAATTTTCCCTGTGGGACCTGTTCTGGACAGGGCTTCTGGTCTCTACTCAGGTGAAAGCCAGTCCCAAGGGAGTAGGCTCTTGCAAATTGGTGTGTGATGATACTGCCAAAGCAACCTGAGAAGCAGCTGCCAGCAGTAGCTCTGCTGGTGTCTAGATTTCAAAGTAAGCTTTTAGACACACACCATAATTTTGACCCACCTTATTCAGCAGAGTGCAGGTAGGAATAACTGTCATTCCAAAATAAAAACGTTATGGGGTTTAATCTCTTTCTAGTTTGTTACACTAGTCTTTTAGGAGCGCAGTGGGCTTTAAAAATTTCTTCAGGTGGATGATCCAGTGTTCTGTAAATGCCTCAGCAAACTACCTGTCCAACTGCAGTATTGCATGACTGATCTACATTGTCCCTGCAGTGATTGGCAGAGGAAAGCAATTTCTCTGAGGCAGGATTTGAACCAGCTACATACCAAGTTCACTGAGTCAGTGGCAGTAAGTTAGAAAGTCCCAAATCATCACTAAGCTCTTCAAAGACACTTCACTACATGTACCTCTTCAAACATGAAAGTTAAGTTCTCTTAATTACTCAGTGCCTGTGTCAAGTTAAATTCAAGATTTTGTTTCATTCATTCCACCTGAGGCCGTGTCTTCGCTGCAAAAGAAATCCTACCTTTTGCCTGGCCTGGTTATCCCAGGGTAGCATCTCCTAAGAACAAGGTGACTTCCCTGGAGAGACTGCTAATTGAAGCAGTTATTCAGACCTATTCCCTCTTGCTTTACCAGCTGCATCAAGATAAAAATTATAAGTGCTTGTGACTTCAGTCACAATGCTTCACTTATGATTTTAGATTAAAAATGCTGAAAAACTGTACAAGCGTTCCTTGTGCTAAGGCACAGACTGTGTATTTAAATGTTCCCTCTGGGCTTTTCTGCTGATCTTACAGCTGTGCCATATCTTCGTGCAAACTGATGTTTTTATTTGCTTTCATAGGCAATCTGTCAACCACAGAAAAAGACATTAAGTGAAAAATGTTTCCATTCTAAATGAGATTGAAGGGGTTACTAATTACGCTATTTCTTCAACAGTGTCAGAACAGGAACATCTGTTAAAAACATTGAGAACTTTATAGTTCTGATGGTTTTAACCCTTTCCAATTTGTAGATCCTTAAGATTTTTCCAGTGAACCACTGCTAATTGAAGTCTGTGGACAACAGACTTCTAATCTGCTTGACTGCTTTGGATGCAATCTGCAGATGAGTCTGAAAACTACTGCTGTAACCTGTCCCATCAGTAAATAAGTAAACTGGATTTATGAAAAGGAATCAAGGCCCTGACAATACAATTGTGATCAAAAAGATGTTTCAAATGTAAACAGAAGCTTCTCTGCATCTCAGAGTGACTCACCGTGTCTGGCCTGTGTCAGTAGGGCACTATGCTCTGATGACAAAGCCACTGATAAATCCAGGACATTTCAGCTTTGTGTACTTTGGTGGGTGTACATACTTTATTCTTGCTGTTACATTTGCTGAGGGAGCACAATCTAACCCAAAAGTGTGTGGAAATTGAACTGAAGCAGGCAAATGTGTCCATCGTGCCTAACAACTGAAGGTAGACTATTCCTAGTAAAACTTGGCCCTTTGTTCTCCTCCTCCCACCAGGCTTTTGCTGAGCCCTCTATCAGTCTGTTCGCTCTGGAAGGCTGCAAGGGCAGAGAGCTGCACTTCAGTGAACCCATCAATTCTGTTTTGAATGAGGACCTTCATTTTTACACTCAGTCTGTATGGGTGAGAAGTGGCTTGTAAGTATGGAAGAAATATTTTTGTCAGTTTTGCATTATAGCAGCTAATACTGATCATGCATTTTCTCCTGATTACTGCCTTTTTTCATAGGATGTAGTTTATAGTCTTAACTTTGTTTGAGACAATATAAAACCCTAAAATGTGGTTGAATGCTAGACCCACTTTTTTTATTGGGACCCAAAATGAAGAAAAACTTTGGATGGAGGGCTTATTTTTCCTTGTAAGAATTGTTCTTTTATCCTTATACAGCAACAAACAGTAGAGCCAATTGCTCAAGACAGGGACCAAAAGTAAATAAGTTTTAATTACTGACTTATAAAGACAGGTAGAATAAACTCAGACTGCCTTTACTAACTGGCTGTAAAATACCAGTTATAAACTGCAGTGATTTAACACTAGCCACTGCAGTGGTTTAGTGAAGCCTGATGTGTTGATTCACTGCCAAAGAGGCAGGAAATTCTGAGGGAACCTTGGGTGGATCTGACAGCTAGAACAGTAATTTGCTTCTGTTATTACTTTAAAACTCCCCTCTGTCAGTGTGAATACACACCAAGGGTCTTCTGTGAAAATAATTTTATATCTGCAGAAATTACCTTCTAAATTTTTCTCCCCTTTCCACCTTTTGAAGAAACTCCCAAGTATTCCATCTTTGGCCTAGTTTTCAGCCTCCGCATGCAGAGCAGCAACAAATAATTTGCAGAGTCTCATCCTGCATCTGAGACTGACTGGAAACTAATGTGGCATGTTTCCTGTGGTCATTTTTAACCTTTTCTCCAACCTTTCTCACATAAACAAGGTTGTAATTTTCATGAGACGTCTTATCTGGTGACACAAAACCACAGAAAATTTGAACTGATTGGGTAAGAAATTAGTATAGCTCGTCACAGCTTAGGTATATCTCTGTTGTGATTCTTACAATGAGTTTTTCAAATTCATCAGGTCTGTTACCACATGGAAGATTAAAATCTTTCTATGGGCATCTGTGATAACACTGCTGAGCACTGCTCAGACTTGTTCAGGTGGTACAAAGGCTAAGCATGGCCTAGCTAATGCTCCAGACCAGCATGGACTGTTTTCTTTCAGGAATTTCACACAAACGTTTTCTTGAAAGGTTGGTTAAGGATTGAACCTTCTTTCTTTAAGAACGGTCAGTAGCTGTTGATTTCAGCTGTGGACCCATAGTGTGTATAAGATTCTGCACAGAGCTTTGCCAGTTCACTGTAAACTCTAGTCCCTAACATCTGTGCAACTTCCATCCTGAGCCCTCACTAAAAATATATAGAGTGATCATCTGCTGCTGCAGTCTTGGGGCGCCCGAGGTGAGAGTGGGAAGCAGCTGCCCTTGGTGGCTGAGAACACAAATTCTCCATGATCTGTGCTAGTTTGAAGAAGGAAGGGCCTTCTCTGGGAGGACCACATGACTTATGTCTGGTAGGAGTGTGTAAACCTTCATGCTTCTGCGGATGTTGCAGTCTAAAGTGTGTCCTGTTGTGGAATGTCTCTTTATAACCTTTCTCTGCCCATGCCATCTGCCCAAAGGGTGATGCAGCAGAAAAGAACAGGAGAGTGAGCATGATAGTCCAGCCCTTCCCCATCTTCCTGTTCATCTCTGAGCATCCAGGCCAGTTTTGGCAGTTCCCTGTTGCTGGGAAGGGTCAGGGCAGGATGGTGGGACTTTCTCTGAGCTCCTCATGATGCTCCCTATAAAGTAGACCTCCACAGCCTGTCCCCATCCCATGCTGCAGATAAGCAGCCTAAAGGTTGAGGGTGGCAGTTGATGGTGGGAAGTCTGCAGGATGTCCTAGAGGGTTTATTTGCTTTCTCTGTGAACAAGAGTTGAGGAAGGTAGATTTAGAATAATTAATTTGGCTCCTTGCCCCAAAAATTTAGTCATTATCAGATTTAGACAACTGATAAAGATTTATGTGTATATATAGCAATGGCATTTTGCTACTAGGCTTAGGTGCGAAGATCCTTCCTGAGTCAACCGACCACCTCCACAGCCTGGACTGTGGCTTGGCAAAGGGGCTGAGGTACTCCCAGGTGTGGGAAGGATGGCACAGCGGAGGCTGCTGGCCTGCGTGAGAGACAAGATGAGTTTTGCCTGTGTCACTGAATGCCAGAAGCCCAACCTGCCTTCAAGTGATTATTACTGTAACAGTCCTTCCTCTCTCTGTTTCCTGTAAGTGTCTGCTTTGGCAACAGAAACAGCATTTCCAATGAGATGATGATCTGAGAACAACCCTAGCAGTGACTTCACAGAAAGCATCACAAGAAAAAAGTCAGGAATGTGTTAGAAATATAAGGAACACACAGTTGTGGTCAGGCTATTCTGGATACCTGTTAGGCAGGAGTTATAGGACTTAATTGAAAGAAACAGTGATACAGCCTCATTACACAGCAGTTTACAGTTGGCACATTTTAGCCTCCATGGAGTCCTGAAGGAGGCTGGCTGTCAGTTTCCCCAAATCACATGCAATGGGGAAAAGTAAATTAAAGGTGCTTCCAGCACTGTTTAGTGGGTCTTTTCACACTGACTGAAGAGTGCAGCCATACCTCATGTTCCTGGCAGCTGAACGATAAAACAACTAAAATTGGGAAACCAGTATTTGTTTTGTGTTCAGATGAGTTAATGAGTCAAGCATTTAGGATTTGCTGTCTGCTCAACAATGTCCTGTTGATAGAAGCAAAACCGATCTGTGATCCTGAGGCTGCCTTTGTAAGCAGCAACTGAGCAGATGTCTAGATAACAAAGGATCTCTCTGTGCTGGTGCAGAGGATTTGGCCACTTCCATGGCTCAGACATCATCGCTACAGGAACATCTGTTACAGCAATGTATAAATTTTTGAGTAAATAGTTGGTGTTTTCAGGCAAGTAGAATACCAATTTAAAGCATTAACTGCAGCAAAAGAAAACACTGGACAAGATTCTCTCATAATTAATATAGCAAATCAGGCAAAGCTGCAAGCAGTGCAGATTTCTTTGTGGCTTCCTAGTTTCCTGCTGCCCACCAAAACCTGCATTATTCCCATCTGGGCTCATGGAGAGAGAGAGAGGGAGAGTGTTTACAATTTTCAGGCAGACAAACAGAAAACAGATCTTAATTTACACAGAAAACAGTTAAACCACTAAAATTAATGACATTTTGCAGCGTGGTAATAGAGATTTGGTATAAGCACTGCTATAGAGAGGTTTGGGAGCTTTCCAGAGCACCACCCTGAACATAAGCCTGTAGTTTAGTTTTGCTGTGGTTAACGTGCACTCTTTCATGTTTGGTTTTCCATATCCAGGTGGATTGCATATGAGGGATGTAACTTTTTAGGAAAGCAGATTCTTCTGGAGCCCAGTGAGATTTCAAACTGGAATGAATATAGTGGGTGGAAAGTAATTGGCTCCCTTCGTCCTGTGAAGCAGGTACAGTAAGACTGTACGAGGACCACTTCTGTTTTTTTGACAGGGATTAATAACAAGTATCAGCTCTGCCACCTACCACTAAGTACAGCTGTGTGCGTTGTACTCCTTAAATCAGACCAAATAGCTGGAAGGACCTACATGAAGGTAACTGAAACAGAAAACTCCTCCAGTGGCAGCTATTAAGATCTAGGTCAGGATTCTAAAGGGAGATAATTCCTAGTTTCTCGGAGACAAGTTTTGTTTTTCTGAATGGCTCATTAGCATGTTCTGTAGGTGCTCTATGTTTATGTTTTTACAAAAGTAATGAGAAAACCAATTCTATAGACAGAAATATATTTATTAAAAACAAGCAAACAAACCAACCCACTACCTGCCATTGCTGCTTACAGGGTCTGTCTACCTGTGAAAAACACTTACTGCTGCTTTACATGAACGTTTGTTTCCAAAAAAAAAATTATTGAACATCTTCATCTGAAAGTGGAATGTATACTTTAGAAAACAGGTATAGGATGGAGATTAGGCGTCCTCATCATTTTTTTGTAACCTTTGTTATACCTATCTTCTTGCACACTATTTCAGCCAGCAGTGTACCTCAGAGTGAAGAACCGAGCCCACGGTAAGTATCTGACAGTTGCTGGAAGCCTGGCGGACATAAGAGCAACGTCGGTGTGTGCATCGCCATATAATGGCAAGAATACCCAGATCTGGCACTACTGTCGTGGACTCTTCAAATCCAAGGTGAGTTTCCAGATGCTGGGAGTGGGTGGAGTGGGTTGTGTCACCTGCTGTCCTTTCACCTTCACTTCTTGCTTTTCCTGCAGGGTAGCATTAACACTAGGATAGCTTTTCGCCTCTCTCACGCATCTTAAACCAAAACCTTTATAACCTACATTCTCCTACTATGTATAGACAGATTTGATCTGTCTGCTTTGGCAGGATGGACTGCTTTTTATACCTAATGCAACCAGTATTCCTGGAAGTAGAACCTTGGTTTTGTCTAGTCACAAGTGTTAGGTTTACTACCTCTGAAGAATTAAGAATTCCTTTCAAGAATCATTTGTGAAGAAAGTAAGTGATTTCTGTATTAATGCTGCCCTTGATAGTCTGTTATTAATATAAAAAGCTGATGATTTAACCCAAGAAGCACCTGCAGTAAGGAAGACTGACCAGCTGATCAAGCAGTTGATTGGTTGTTGACTAATGTGTTCCTAGTCTGCTTGCCAGGCTGATTACCAGCTGCAGCACAATTACTGCAATATGCTTGGTGCCTGAAGCAGAAACCAGTCAGGCACAAAACCGAGGCTTTGTGGCCTGGATCTCACTTCCCTTCTTGTTTCTTAGGCTAACAACGCCTGTCTCGATGTCATTGGTGGCAGAGATATGCCTGGGGCCAAAGTTGCGCTTTGGGCAGAGCATGGGAAGGACAGGCAAAAGTGGAGATTCAATGAGGATGGAACCATCAGTTCATACCTCAGTGACCAACTGGTGCTTGATATTAAAGGTATTTTTTTAAAAAGCACAACTAAACCTCACATGTTCTAAGTGCTTTTTTTTATTAAGGTTAATTGCCATATTCCAACTCTTTTTGTACTTAAGTTTAAATACTGAGTCCTATCTTTCCTGTAAGGTTTATGTTCAGATGCTTGACAGTGAGACAAGAAACAACAGAGAAGGGGGGAACCTTATTCTTCTTATCCCAAAGGTTTATTTTTCTCAGACCAACTGTTCTGCTTGAGGGTGTTCCATTAGTGCTGATGGCAAAAAATGCAAGTTACAGGAGACAAAACAGGGAAGGAAAAGCAACCATGGAATAGATGTGGCTCAAAAAGAGAAAAGTGCTCACTCCTAATGTTTTCAGGCTGCTTAAAATTGTCCTTGCTCAAGTCCTAGTCCTTCTAATTACCCATCATAGCAGTACTGCCTCACTGCAGAATGCTGGTTCCTCACACACAATTTGTTCAAGGCCTGCTGCTTCAAGCCCTAGGGGAGAAGTAGTGGTGCTGTGGCTGATCATGAGGTTGGGAGCTCTATGGTGCTGTCTTCTCAGATAAAAGGTCTAAGTAAACTAGTTTGCAGCCTAACACCCCTGCAGTGCTTACAGACCAGGGTAAAGGCGCATCCCAAAGGTGAACTCATCAGCCTTTTCAAGGAATGTCTTACACATCCTACCTTTGCAACTCAGACTTGCTTGGTAATCAACTCTCAGCCCCATGATGTTGAACTTGTAGAGCATTCCTGGCTTCCAGGAGTTTAACCACCATTACTAATTTGTAAGTTGTTACCACAAAGCCATCTTAAATGCAACTAGTGATGCTGATGGCAACTCTTAACAGTATCAGAGCTGTGCTGCCTAAGTCACTGCAAAGTATCCTGTTGAAGGCTGGGGTGGCAAGACAGCGTTTCACAGCTCTTCAGAACACCTATTTGTTGTAGTGGATCTTTATTTGGAATATAGTGATAAAAAATGCGCTGTCATTTCTATGCTACATGGATTCAAAGGAGAGAAATTTTATTTTTGGGACTTCTTAAGGAAATGGATATGCTCCATCAACTAACCTCACATCTATCTCTCTCAGAGGTACCTGTTATTTCTAATATAGCAACATGCACCTTAAAAGCCAGGCATGTAGCAGGAGCTCAGGATCTGCCATAAGTACTGTCTCTTCAGGGGTGCTGTTTCCTGTGCACAGAGGTGCATTTGGGCACTCCAGTTTGTGGAATACTCTGCTACCCAACTAATGGAGCTCCTCAGGCCTAACTGGACCAGTGACCATTTGAAGGAGACAAACATACAGTGGCAGAGCAGCAGACATCAGCACGCTTACCTGACAGAATTTATCTTTTTCAGCTTGCTTTCATACTTGGTCATACTTCTTAAAAGATTATGCATAGAATTTTCTGAGTGATTTTTTTAAAAAAAAATTCCTTCATGGTATTTTTTTTGTTTTGTTTTTAAGGAGGAAATTATTATGACAAGAATCACATCGTTATGAATCAGCTGATAGATGACAGACATTCACAAAAATGGGATATTGAAATACTGTAAAAACCACCATACAGGTGGACGTTGTGTGGGTTATTAACATCTAGAAGGGGGAAAAAAAAAAACAAACTACTGAAGTCACACACCACTGGAACCTTAAGCAGCAGCTCCTCTCTACTTCGCTTCATACCAAGCACTAACTCCTAAAACAATGGCATTTTGCACAAATCTGGAAAATGGGAGATTGATCTAATATCTTCCTGCAGGGAAGATTCTTTAGAGGCAGCTCCTATGAAAGTCACTATTACTCCTCATCTGAAGCATTAAAAGTAAATTTAAAGGCCTTAGATGTAAGCTTTGCATGATATGAACTGCTGCAAGAGATAATATGGGATAGGCTCTTTCGGAATGCTGTTCTTACCTCCCTCTCAAACTGATAGACACTCACTGAAGAATGAATGCATTGATGAGCCTGAAAGAAGTTGAGTTGGCCTTCTATGTCCCAAGTGAAACTGTTTCGGCTCCAGGTAATCCTGAAGCTCAAATCATATCTTTTGCTAAAATGCAATTAATTTTGTTCATAAAGACAACTTTATGAATTACCAGCTCAGCATGTGAAATGATGCAACAGAGAAAGCCTGACTTTCACTCCCCTAAAGTCTTCATTTGCTTTAACAGTACCAAATTTCCAGATTGAGGAACTGGTTTTGCTGACCCACAGCCTGTTTCCAACCCAAGAGCTTGTGAGTTACCACTAAAGATCATCTTTAACATGGAGCCACATGTGCATATGTTAAAAAAAGAGAATAAATTGTCCTGGGTCATGCTGGACTTCTACAAGGGCTAGCTGCATTTAGAGCAGTCATGATTTTAACTCGAGCTGTATTTTGTTTTGATGTATATAGGTTAATTTAATACAATGTAATTTGGTCTTGGAACCCTGTCTTCCTTAAGAAAGTAGTTCACCCTGGCATGTATTTCCAAAAGTGCTAACAGACTTCCAACACGTGCTTAATGTTAGAAGAACAGCATAACTGCATGTCGATGTTAATGTGGCCCATCAACGACGTGGACATCTTAGCTCAAAGAATGAGGACGTGGACTAATGGTCCAGCCTGTGGCACGCCAGCGCTTTCCTCGATTTCAGCACTATGCAACCAGCCTCCTGTCACTTGTAACAGACAGAGCCAAATACCTTCCTGGGCTGCGGCTGCGGCAGGCTTGAAAAGCACACTTCTCACTCAGCACTGACAAATACAGAAGGAACTGCAGAACAGTTGCAGAGCTGTGAACACCTGATGTGGAAGAAAGGTCCCTGAGATCACTTGATTTGATTTCAGTGTCACTAAATTAATCTACTTCATTGTACACTTCTTTATTTTTTTCCCCTTATTTGTACAGTCAGAGTATGTATTTCTATAATTATGTAAAGAGTTTAGGTTAGCTAAAGGACAGATATTTTAAATCCCAAAAGCTGTAAGTATTCTGGCTGTGCATTCAAACAGGATTCAACCCCAAACAAAAACACATAACCCTAAGTTTGGCATAGAAATAAAATATATGGATGTCTATTTTTGTATGAAATGGAGCTCTGTATAGTACTATTTAAAATAAATCTACTTGCACTTCATATTTTACATCCTAAAATTATCATAAATCTGCTGTTTAAGTAACAGATCTTCAAATGTATGCATAAATTTTTCCAACTGAAGCACGTGTTTAGCTTTTTTTTATGTAAGTAATTATAATAAGTGTTTAACATGTGATTTGCTTTCCATATGTAGTTTTAAAAGCCTGTGTAAAAGGTTCTAGTCTTTTAAACCACAAATGACTAAAATCATATTTGGTGTGTCACTGTTACATAAGGAAGTGAAGCAGGCTTTTGTACTTCAGAGATCTTGAATGTAAAACATTAAGCATGTATATTTTAATTGTATAAAACTTTTTTTTAGGAGGAATGTTTTGCTTGTTGGTTTCTTTTTAAACAAATTAACTACAGCAATACTTTTTGATAAGTATACTGTTACAGTAGGGTTGCAGCAATGTTCAAGTATTAAAATAACTGCACTGCTCCCATCAAAAGTGGGTACTGAAGATACGAATGCCAGTCACACAGGTTTGGGTTACTTTCACTTCAATGGGGTAGGGAACTTAGAGGTTAAATACTATGGGTTTTGCATCCAATCACAGCAGCTGAGAGGAAAGGGATTTTCTTGGGCAAAGTCTTACCCCTTTGGGAAACAACATGCACAGCTTTTACTCAGAAGCTTGTGTTCTCTGAGGGCAAACGAACAGAACAAAGGGGTTTTCTTATTGGTAAGAGAAGTTACTGTTTCTTGCCCAAGGTCCTGGAGCTTGCTGCACATCTACCTTTAGATGTCCTCCACATCAAGGCATAAATCCAGAGGAAAGGGAATACCAGAGTACTAGTGTTACTGTGAGTGACTTCATAGACCCACAGACATGGAGCCATGGCTCACTGGACAAGCAGCTTACCTGTTTTTCCCAATGCACGTTTTTCTAAAGCTACAGAAAGAAAAGTAACATTTAGCACCAGACAGGAGCAAAGTATGTATGTTGCAATGTTTTGTTAGACAGCAATACAAACCAAAGGCTGGGTGGATAAAAAAAAAGTAATTTAATAAGCCTCTCAAGTGATTCTTAATGGCCAGAAATACTACTTACAGGAGCAGCTAATTCACAAAAGCATCAAATAACTTCAATTAGACATTCAGTCCATAGAGACAAGGCAAGGTTTTCTTTTTCTTCATTTGAGATAAGGTTAAGCTCATTAACATTAACAACACGGCTACTCCAAATCTGCTTCAGAGCATCCAAGTATGACAAAGGAAACCGCAGTCCATGAGTCTGCTGCAGAAAAAAACAAGAAAAAACGAATAATAATAATAATATCCTTCAGCTAAGTGCATTGTCCTTTACTACACACACTAGTGTTAGGCTGTAGCTACCAATCAGCATGGATATGCTCCTTTCCCCCATCACAGTAGTAGTTATGAGAGCATCCCTCCAAAAGGGGCAGTTACTATCCTGACACCTTTCTTAATAGGAAAAAAGTAGCTAAAATCTCTTACATGTTCTAGCACACCTTAGGGAGGCTTAAGATGCTTGGCTTCATGTGGTTTCCACACTGAAGAACAATGTAACTTTACGCTCTCACCTAACCCTACCTGTTATTTTTGGAAGGTCATACAAGTTAAGTTTCTTTCAATCTGCCACATGCAGATGGGAAGAACACAGTCTGACAGAAGCACAGAGGACCTCCACTACCATGGCTGGAGTCTTTAAAGGCAGGAAGGTATATTCTGGGCCTCTGAACATAGGGTACAGGTGCCCTTGTACAACCCCAGCTACCCTACCCTTCTCTACCCTAGAGGACTAAGATTTACCTTCAAACATAAGTAACTGCAAGGCTAAAAACCTTGCTGCAATTACTTAGATAAGACCAGACTCTGTTCTGTTTTGCCTGCTCCAGGTAGTCGTGCGGACCTGTGGTCAAGTGTTTCAGGTCACAATGCTGACCCACCCCACCTGAAAATGTATACCCTTATCTTGAGGTATGTCTCTTGAATACAGAATGTGTCCAATATGGGTTCAACATATTACATGAGGCACAGTGATCCCTGCTTATACTAAACAAGTACTAGCATAGCCAGTAACCTTCATAAAGGATGTGTTAAAGGACACAGAATCAACACAGTTCTAGCCTCACCAGTAGCTGTGCTAGCTAGGATATCAGGCACGTGCAAGAAATCCTGTTAAGATCTCAAACATAATTAAGCACAAGATTATATTAGTTCATTCCACTATTAATTGCCTCTGTGTTGCGGCCTCAGCTCATCCAGGTACTTGGTGAGCAAAAATGCTTTGGCTGCTGAGAAATAAAGCAGGACCCAGGCCCAAGCTACCACCTCAGTCAAGCTTGTCATAACACAGCAAAACCCAACGTGGCAAAGTAGCTTCTGTTGTGTGTTTGTGGGAACAAACCCGTACTGTGCCTTCCTCGCTAGCAGTATCATCTTCTGTCCCCATCATGTGAGTTTCTCTCCTGTTCTTTAAAGAATGATACACATAAACCATCTCTCTGCGAATTTCATCCTAAAAGACACCAGGAAATAAACAGTTACATAGGATTGATACCCTCACATCCATCTCACTCAAGTGACAATGTTAGCTCCTCAATTCTGGAGTCCACTGTTTGTTACATCAGTAAAATTGATTCACCTTCCTAAAGGAATTATCTAACAGCCATCTATTACCACAGTAAGGGCATATCCAAAACATCTTTGAAAATTTATTTACAACCTATTTCTGCCTTAGTACTGCCTCTGCTAGACTCAGAACTGATGCCGTACAGAAAACACAGCATTTAAGGGGCACCTCCTAAAAGGTCTTGATGGAGTATGCATCAACAAATTTCCATTCTTAAAATTTTTATGCCTGTTGTCATTATTTGGTCAAAGCTGTGCAAACCAATTAAGAGCTCTGTGGGCAGATTTCACACCAAATTTATGGAAACAAGTCTCCCATGTCTACCATCACTCAGGGTTTATCTGACACATCAGAGGACAAGAAGGCAAAAAAATTTGCACAAAAAAAAGGTTTCTAAAACCTACACACTCTCACAGCAATATGGACAGAAACAAAATGGAGGAGAAAAATCTGAAAGTTATGGTATGCTTTTGTTACAGGGAAACATTTACATTTTACATGTGCAAAAAAAAAAAAATTTTTTTGTACAGGATAGTCCTTCCTGCCCCTCCCTTTTTTTTTTTTAATTAAGACAACAAAAAGTACTTCTGCAACTTCATGCCAATAAACCTTCACAGATAAGAAGCAGTCTGAACACAATATAATCCAATCCAAGCTCCCAGTATCTATTTTGTGAACGAAATTAACAATGTCACTAGTCCCCACTGAGGTACAAAGATAATTCAGAAAAGTAAAGCCTAAATGCAACCAGAGTCAGCAGCAGCTGCAACCAAGAGATTGCCCTCTTGAGGGAACCTTTTTTTAATAACTTATTCATGCTCTGAAATACAAAGAAAAAAAAAATAAAACCACCTAAAAATCCATTATCAAGA